TTGGTGACAAAGACCAGTTGCAATTTGATACTAAATTGCATGGGGAATTCAGTGATGCATTTTTCGAAGCTGAATATGAAACACACGTGATGTAATAGGCTTCTCAACACCGGCCTTCGCGAAACGTGTCTTTGCAAACACCATCCAACATGGTGGAAAGCGCTCTACGGCACTCGTGTAAGTGTATTCTTGAAAACATCCCAACCGATTCTAGATTCATCGGCAACGTTTCAGAATTATCACCAGCGACCCCATGCAAAACTGATATCAGTGATCATGGATATGTTATTTTGGAACTCAATACTCCCAGTAATTATCCGAAGAAATATTAAATTAAATCGTGAATACAGAAGGAAAGGACGGAAAGCGAAAGCGGACGTGAATTAAATGTGAAGTAAAGTCACCTGGTATAGATGGCCTTCCTCCAGAATTAAAAAAAAATGCACCTTCCCTTGCTATGAACCTTATATGGCAATACACCAATATATACATATTGTTTAATATCATTTTAGATTCAGGAGTATTTCCCTTTGCTTGGAATGTTGGTTTATTGGTGCCTATTTATAAACAAGGAAATTATCGAGGAATATCCATGTTATGTGTGATTGGTAAAATATTCACTTATGTTCTTGAAAGACGACTGCGTAGCTGGGCCGAGTTTAATGCTTTACTTAATGAAGGGCAAGGAGGCTTTAGAAATAATTATTCTACCATAGATAATATGTTCTGGAATGAAAAATGGTTCTTTAAAGCTTTACCTGTAGAGGTCACCCCTTATTATAAATATTTGCGAATTGTATTTTCATCTGGTTTAGTTTGGTCCCAAGCTTGTGAAACGCTATCTTTACAAGCCAAACGTACATGTGTCCCTCTGTTTCAACTGTTCACGATGTATCAAAGTATGTCTTGAACTATTGCTCATAACATATTTGTCAGTAAGATACTACCAATTTTAACCCGTGGAAGTGAAATTTGGGGCTATACTTATAGAACGTGTATTGAAAAGGTTCATAGAGAGTATTTTAGAAGATTTTTATCAATCGGTAAAAAAACTGCATCATGTGCTGTACTTGGAGAAATTGGCAGATATGATTTGTGTGTACATAATTATTCAAGGTGTATTAAATATTGGTGCCGAATTATTCGTATGGACCAAAAGAGATCCCCAAATGCCTGCTATAACATGATGAAAGTCTATGATGACTCATGTTCGAATGCTTTTATTAACTACAGGATTCTCCTATGTCTGGTTAGCCCAGGATTGTGGCAATGTAAATCACTTCATGTTAGATTTTAAACAGCGTTGTATATATATTAATATACAACATTGGAATAGTAAAATAAGTGACTCATCATTTCTTGTAAATTACAGTACATTTAAGTCACGTCTTGAACCTGAACTGTATATGTCCTGTGGCGCATTAAACAAAGATCTAATGCGAATGTTAATCACATTTTGATGTCAATCACATAACTTGAAGATACAAAAAACAACGTTTTTGAAGATAATGGTCCCATATAATGAATTAATTTTTAGCAAATGCAATGTAAACTTGCTTGAAGATGAATATCACTTGTTGCTAATATGTCCATTTTAAACCGATGCAGGTCCCAATGTATTCAAGCCTATTTCTCCAGCCTTCCTTCAATTGTCAAATTTCCAGCCCTTATGAAGATACAAAACATGTATATTTCTGAAGCAAAACCTACGTTAACATGATTGTGTTATCATTTACAATATTTCAACTCTACACATCATGACAATGTTGTGCTACCTGTTGTACACTTGGCCACATGGCCTATTAAATCTGAACAACTTGATCTGATCTGATTATATCTGATATCAGTCTAATATTTTAATGCACATTCCTACCTTTAATACAACCTGTCTGTGACTCATGAAATATATTATTTAACCTGAGTCTGCTGGCTAAACTTTTGCCAAAGATTTTTAGTCAGTGTTAAGTAAAGTTATTCTTTAAAATTTTCCCATCTTTATTTGGCTTTTCATTTAGAGTAATCACTCCTCTTCTTTGAGAAATACTCAAACAGCCTTGCTCTATTGAATGATAAATTGAGGATTTGTAATTTTTTTTTTATCAGTCCAAATATCTATAAAATTCCAGGTTGAGGCCATCACATCCTGTGGACTTGTTAGACTTCATTTAAGTGCTTCAAATAGATAATTTTCTTTAATTTCACTTTCAAAAACAAATTTATTTTGAAACATCTTGTAGGCTTTATGAGTCAATGAAATATAGCGAGTCAATACCTCGTGTGACCACCGTGGGCATCCAGAACTGCACGGCATCGCCTCGGCATCGAAAAAATAAGTCTCAGAATTTCGTGATGCCCAATCGCAGCCCACTCTGCCTGTAGTGCCTGTGCGAGTTGCTGAAGTGTCTGGGGCTGAGGGTTACGGCGTCGCACCCGTCTGTCCAGGGCATCCCACAGATGTTCGATCGGGTTTAAGTCCGGTGATCTTGAGGGCCAGGGGAGCACATTGATGTTGTGGTTCTGGAGGAAGTCTCTAGTGTGACGTGCTGTGTGGGGGCCTGGCATTGTCCTGTTGAAACAACTCCCTCTGGCGATCAATGCTTGGAAGGAGGTGTGGGCGTAGGGTTTCGTCACAGTACCGTTGAGCTGTCAGGTTGCCCTGGATCATCACCAAATCACTTCTCCTACGGCAGGTGATCGTTCCCCACATCATAACACTTTCCCGGCCGAATCTGTCCACCTGGGGAACGCAAGCGTCGGCGAAACGTTCACGTCGACGTCTGTACACCCGCATCGTTCCAATAGAAATCGTGATTCATTACTGAACCAGATTCAACGCCAATTCGGTAGGTTCCGGGCCTGAACGTTGGTGCACCAATGAACTCGATGTCGACGATGTTGTTGTCGAAGCACAGGGCCCAAAATAAGGTCTTCTGGCATGTAAACCAGCCTCTCTCAACCTGTTCCTGACGGTCTGTGCAGAAAGCCTCCTCAATCCGGGTATTTGTCGAGCGGTACTGGTCGCCGTAGCTGTTCGATGACGCAGCTGATGTACCCGGATGTAGCGATCCTGCGCCGCAGTGGTCGCTCGAGGTCGCCATTTACGAGGGGCATCTGCTACCGAATTCTGCTGGCAATATCTCTCCCAGAGCCGTGAAATGGTGCTTTGGTGAACATTCATGCGTCGGGCAACTGCACGTTGAGGCTGGCCAGCTTCAAGCAAACCAATGGCGATATGACGGTTGGCTTCACTTAGACGTGGCATTTTGTGTTCGTCAACAATATTCCAAATACAGTGAATAATCGACAGACAGCGATCAACCTTTTATACCAATCATTGAGACTATCTGATCCCCAACTTTCACGTGCATTGCATGTGAATTGTGTATTCTGTGACACTACACGCCGAAATTGAAAATCATGCTGTTAAATACGGGTATTTTACGGATGGTGCGTTTTGTTGTGATGTTTCAAAACATAAACACCATAGGACTCATAAACAGTGCAAAACCTTTTGTAAAACGAATCACGTTTTAATTCATTGCTACATGAAATTGCAATTTTCATGATGCGTTTCTTTTTTGGGAGAGTATATACCTGTGGTGGAATGTGAGGACCTGGTCACATACGTGTTATTCTGTGACAACCAGGGTGCGGCTTATACTTGGCAGTGTTCTCAATGAATACTCAGCCCTTTGTCATTCGTGAGCCTAAAGAATGAGGACACTTTTTTATGGATATACAACTTCTTTATTCTGTATAGGCGACGTTTCGACATAGATTCTAATGTCGTTGTCAGGTAAGTGACATTCTATTAACATTTCATTGTCAAGCCGGCTCAATTCGACTTCCTGGTTGGGGCGGTGGGGTAGCCTAATGGTTAAAGCTTTGGCTCGTCACGCCGAAGATCCGAGTTCCATTCCCCATATGGGCACAATGTGTGAAGCCAATTTCTGGTGTACCCCGCCGTGATATTGCTTGAATATTCCTAAAAGCGCCGTAAAACCATACTCACTCACTCACTCACTCGACTTCCTGGTTGCTGTTGTTTAATCTTTCTGGTGTAAATATTTGATCACTGTCAGGAACATCTCCTGTATTCTGTCAGCCGTCGTCTTGACCCGTCGTCGATATTCAGTGACGTTTACCAGTGGTTAAATCGACAGGTCAGTTCCAGGAACCCTGTCATCCCTACATCATAACGGTCGTAACGGTCATGGTCAAAATGACATAACTGCATATAACTCACCCACTGAACTATATGTCAGGTGAGTGCGGGCAGTATAACTAGATCAAGATATTGCTGTTTGTATCACTCAGAGAATAACCATAAAACGTGTACATGTATATTAAGTCTCTAGTTTTCATTGAGCCTATTTGTATTTATGTTAAATGTTGCTTGAAGTCAACTCATCTGAAACTGTAGGTCTTAAAACGCCCCGTATACATTGTGAAGATACTATTACTGAAAGTATGAGGATAATATTCAGAGGAAGTCTCGCTAGAAGTGAGAGATTCATGTTTGTATAACACGAAACAACGAATCATTGTAAATGAGTTCAAGACAACTCGGGCGACGTGACGCAGCAAGTTAACAATTATTGTGAGTCCGCCAGCCCGGGAGGTTGAACGCCTCACCTGCATGTATTGCACATGTCCATTGTGTGCCAGCAGTATGGTATAATTATCTAGCAAGAATGGGTCAATATTTAAACACATACGTACCGCATGACTAACTTAAAGACGACTTTATAACATGGTTATGCTGTTTGAACCAGTTTGGGGCTACGTAATGACAATCGGATATTGTCAACATCTAATGTAGAAAGTTTTGTTCACACACACACACACACACGCACGCACGCACGCACGCACGCACACACACACACAAACACGACGGACTACAGATGTATCGAGGACACGGACTTGAGATGCATCCCCAGCATGAACTATATTTCTTTCTTAATGTACAGGGTGTTATTTGATCCCATGAGGTTCGGTGTTGTTACAACATTACATATTCATGCAGTCAGATTTGTCAACCTGAAATGAACCGAATCCTGCACTAAATGTAACTCGATGTAATTGTTCCGTTTGATATGCGGTGCAGGTAAACAGGTTAGGATCTCAACATAGTAACACGATCATCACTAATAGCGACGAGTAATGCTGAAGACGCCATTGTGTTACGGGCGGTGATTATTCAGGCGACAAAGCTTACTGGAGACTGTCGGCAGAAACTAGGCTTATTGGACACTGTCGTTAAAACATGGCTTTTGGATGACTGACCAATGGGGTATATTGTTCACAGGAACAGACATCACTGACATATTGCTCAGAGCCATAGTGAGATACAGTCAGCAGAAAGTAGTGGCGTATTGTTCACAGGGAACAGGTAGTCGGGACCCACTGTTCACATGAAATAGTGAGAAGTGACATATTGTTCACAGCAACCGGGAAGAGGAAATATGTTGTACATCGGTGGTGCCATATTCGTCACAGACATCGTGGCAGATTCTTCACTGGCAACTGACTATAGTGGGATGATGTTCAGAGGGGAGACAGATTGTTCACAGGATGCAGGCAACTGGGTGGAGGAGACTCGCTGCTTCTAGGAACAATAGAATAGAGACACAAAACGGGAGAACATGGAAATTATTGAACACTGTAAAGTTAATTTAAAAACGCGCAATTCCAGCAAGACCAACGATGAAGATGAAGAGATACTGTCATTCTCTTATAGAGAATCGCCGCTACAGTTGGCAAATGGTATTTGGTTTATGTGCACAAAATAAGAATGAATGATTCAAATTCTTCGAAGGAAGAGGATGACACAATACTGCCAAACCAAGAAACGGCCAATCTCCTGTGGCAGATCGTTCCGCCGATCCTCCTTCTAGTTGGAACTGTAGGTAATCTCCTTTCCATTGTTGTGTTGACCCGTAAGACAATGAGGAAGTCCAATGTGTCCAAATACTTGACCTGTCTGGCAGTGGCTGACTTATCTGTCATATACACGGGGCTCCTCGCACCATGGATAGAACATGAGTTTGACGTAACTATCCGTGATATTCACGAAGCTGCTTGTAAGATCCACACGTGGCTGCTGTACACATGTCTCCACGCTTCAGCCTGGATACTCGTCTCGGTCACCATTGAACGCACAGTGTTTGTTTGGCATCCCCTACGTTACAAGGTGTTTTGTACCAGGAGAGTCGCCACCTCCTGTATGATTGGTGTCACTGTTTTTTGTTTGATATTGAACAGTCACTTTCTATTCTTCTTGGTACATACTGAAACAGATACAGGAGTCTATGAGTGCGATTCCGGGTCAAGGGTTGACTATGAATACTTTCTCCATAACGTGTTCCCCTGGATTGATATGTGTGTGTGGTGTATCGCACCTGTTGTGGTTCATCTTGTGTGCAATATTCTCATCATTTACCGTCTACGTCGTCAAACCCATACATTCCAAAGACACAATTCAACAGCCAGAGCAGATAGATTGAGGCAAAATCTCGTAACGTCCATGACAACTATGCTGCTGAGTCTGAACCTAGTGTACCTCCTCTGCACGTTGCCTGTGTCCGTCTTCTTCGTTGTGGAGCAATATTGGAAGGTCATGTACCCAGGGAAGGAGGCGGAAGCTGCACGAGAGCTTATTAAGACATGTGTGAGTCTAGTCATGTACCTCAACAACTCCACGAACTTCATCATCTGTTTGGTGAAAGGTAAACGGTTTCGGAAGGAGGTTAGCACTATCTTCACCTGTGGGAGAACACGTGGCCCTACATTCCAACAAAGATCTACATCCATCTCTCATATATCAAGGTCATTCCGCCAGATGTCACTAGCAGAGTCTTCCAGCAGTTCCTGTACGTATTACCAACCTTGCTATCGTCACCATTTTTGTCTGACATATCCCATTTACCAGTCGATATCGTTATTCCGATATTATTCCTCAAAACAGATAAACCTGTTATTGAATCATAAGTGATAATGGCTACAGTGAGAATTGGTCTGTGTGGGAATTTCTTTGATATTTTAATCGCCATCAAATATAAATTGAGGAGTTATTAAAACCAGCACTAATTTTACAATAGTTGTAAAAGCGATATGCCATGAATTGCTTCAATGCACTCGTCACATTCAAGGTATCAGAGTCAATCTGGATACTGTCTGAATATCGATACAGACCATGCCGATGGCACACACTGTAATGATAACAAACACACAACCGAACTTCAACAACCAAACAACGTCAGCTATTGACATGTTTCTTTTACCTTTAGGAATTTACATATTTAAAATAAATACAGGAAATATATATCAGTTTCGACAGAACACCTGGGGTAAAATATAGGTATTGTTCACCTATTTAGTACGTGGATGATGTAGTTGTAGCGGTGATGGTAGTCACAGGTGCACATCTTTCACTGTTGCTACTATCGATGTTTATAAGGAGGACGATATCGTCAGTAATGTCCACAGTAGAACATGTGGACGCCGGGCAGCCCGTCACCTTAACCTCACATTATTCAGAGTAACAGTGGTAAATGTAACCCAGTAATAGTAATAATAATAGTAACAGTCAGCTTATATGGCGCTCATATCCAGGCACATTGCCTGCTCACGGCGCTACGTACATTACTATCCCCGGTCATAGGACGCTATCGTACTTTCATATACTTTTTCAACTCCCTGGGGATGGTACAGCCATGCTGCCTGTTAGGCGCAATGAACTAAACACACACATTGCCAGCACATCCTCACGGGTACTCATTTTACAGCTAGGTGAATTGAGCAGTATTACCACGAACCTTGCTTTGTAAAGATTGTCCCCCAATCCTAGCCGTGGTGGAGATGTGGTAGTTGTTATCGCTTGAGAAATCATGAACAGATGGGTTTTCGCTGTTTATACAACAAATATCACGTTACGTGATCTTACACCTCTGAGCTATGACATTAAAGCCCAACTTGCCACCATTACATTCTGTGCGACGCCGTTTGGGGGAGGGTCTGTTCATGGTTCACCGTAATATAAGCACACTCCCAGCTAAATGGGGTTTTGTTATTATTGTAATTGAGTCTGATCTTGTGAAGGCTTAACAATGAACACTTTGCATTATTGCGAACTGTTAACGTTTCGCTCACAGCGCGGATGCTTGTCTACTGGACCACGAAGGCGAGTGTTGACGAAGCTATTTGTCTATACACGGATACAATGCCATATATCGGAGTACACCATGTTCATGTAGAGACTCTGTTTTGGCACTCACATTGACATGGAATTATACATGCTCAACTTATTATCTCAGCTGACACAAACAGCCTTATGCATCATCAAACTATCTATAATGTTGCGTGGTAGGGCTATGCGATAGATAGCCTTGGGTTGTGTCTCATATATATCATACAGAAACACATGTCTGTTGTTTTACCTTTCAGCAAGTGACATTATTGGCCTGAGGTACAGACAATATTCTGCTCAAGATGGACAAATAAACGTCACAAACTCCAGTATGAGAATGTGACGAGGTGGACCAATAAACAACAGAAACCCCAGTATCAGAATGTGACGAGGTGGACCAATAAACAACACAAACCCCAGTATCAGAATGTGACGAGGTGGACCAATGAACAACACAAACCCCAGTATCAGAATGTGACAAGGTGGACCAATAAACAACACAAACCCCAGTATCAGAATGTGACGAGGTGGACCAATAAACAACACAAACCCCAGTATCAGAATGTGACGAGAGGTGGACCAATAAACAACACAAACCCCAGTATCAGAATGTGACGAGGTGGACCAAAAACAACACAAACCCCAGTATCAGAATGTGACGAGGTGGACCAATAAACAACACAAACCCCAGTATCAGAATGTGACGAGGTGGACCAATAAACAACACAAACCCCAGTATCAGAATGTGACGAGGTGGACCAATAAACAACACAAACCCCAGTATCAGAATGTGACGAGGTGGACCAATAAACAACACAAACCCCAGTATCAGAATGTGACGAGGTGGACCAATAAACAACACAACACAATTCCTATGGATCTGGATACTTAAGCATGTATCTCGGATTATGTGAGCGTGTCATGAGGTGTTCACAAATGGGGATAGCACTTCCTGCTCTACCGGTAACAAACCGCCAATCACGCAATTTTCTTGCCATGCGACATTGGCCCGTAAACAAACCAGACAATGAAGTGCTCGATAGACCAGAACATCTTGTAATACGATACAGCATTTACTGATTATTTTGAAACTAATACTAACGATATGTTAATTATGAATTACCTCCGTTGCAGAATTTCTGCGGCTGAGAAAACGACGGTTAAGAAAAAATATGTACCGTATATGACCTCTATAAGACGACGGATAAGACGACCCCCAAACTTGACCCTTAAAACAGAATTTCGATGCGATGGGGTCCTAATCGCGGAGAAACAGACAACTGGCAGTTACCAATAATACGGACGTTTAAAACCAACAGTGGGGATGGTCCAGCGTTTAGGCCTGAACATTGTTTATGGTTGACTCATCACAGACATATTCCACGGAGCATATGCTTACAAGTTGGGGACTTCAGAATACCATCTAAATCATCGACCCAGTTTAAATACAATATGATTCTTAGACAATATCTAGTTGAGAGTATCCGCTGACAGGGATAAGGGGCAAAGTATCTGTTGAAATGTTATGGATGGAAGATTGAAAATCCAGCAAAACTTCAATGGAGACGAACAATTATTATGCATTTCTCATTCAATTTTCCTATATCGCAATCCTATATTTTTTTAGAAATGGACACTTTTTGCAAATTCAATTTCAGCTGAAAGTGAGCAATATATAATTTGCTTCTATGTCAATGATATACCAGGCACCATTATCAATTTGTAGTCCTGCTCTACCCGTTTTCAGTTGTGCTAAATATCTTAAGTGATAAATGAAATTTGTTTAGTATGTACCGTTCAAGTTGTATTTTGTAATGAAGGAAGGTTTCATAGCTAGAGCTTTCAGAAACTGTAATTTTACATTCTTCAGAAGAAATGTTTTGACATCATATTATTAACTTATTCATAAAGTACACCTCATGTCCAACTTTTTGGTGGACCTAACCGAAGCCAAGTTTGAATATACATGTACTGTTTAAGCAGCTGCGTCTTAACCAGTTGTAAACTGAAATGTAGTCCAGAATATCGATAATATATTTTAACTTTCCATATTTTGCTGTGAATCATGAATCATTCTTCCAGCAAGGCCTGTTTCGCAAGTCGGACAACTGAATCGACTGAATTCTTAAACATCAACGAAGGCCACATACAATCTTCCTTTGCGTTTAGCACGAATATGTTGTCTGTTGTCGATTAACCCGATCCTGCTCGCTGGCCAGATATATAGTTTTCACATCCTCTAGTACTTGTTGGTCCCCGCCTGGCGCTCGGCATTAATGGGTACAACAAGGACTGGTCGGCTCGGAGTCAGTATAATGTGTCTGAGTGGGGTATTCATGCTTCACTGCGGCGTGGTATCTCAGTGGGCTAGCACAGTTTACATTTGGGTATAAATATTGATGGAGATATGTTGAGTTCATTGTTTTATGCTGATGACGTTGCTTTGATAGCACCTGATGAGCAGTCCTTACAGCGTATGCTAGACTGTGTTGCCGGATGGTGTTCACGTTGGAGGATCTTGGTTAATATCAATAAGACTAAAGTTGTACATTACCGTCCTTGTTCTGTTAAACGCTCAGAGTTTGTATTTTCATTGGGTAGTGAGGTCATTACCTACTGTTGTGCTTACAAATACTTGGGTCTGTGGCTGCATGAGAATCTTGATTTAAATGTTACTGCTAAGGAAATAGCTAAGTCTGCTAATAGAGCTTTGGGTGTGATTTTTTGTAAGTTTAAGGCAGTTGGCGGTATGGATTATAAAGTTTATAATAAGTTATATGATATTCTTGTTCAGCCCATTCTTTCATATGGAGCCGCTATTTGGGGAACACGGCAGTATAGCTGTATCAATGCAGTTCAACATCGGGCAGCCAGATTCTTCTTAGCCGTCGCTAGAAAAACTCCAAATTTAGCAGTTCGTGGCGAAATGGGCTGGGTTTCTCAGTATACCAAACAAAAAATTGAGGTTCTTCGTCTTTGGTGTAAACTTCAGTTACTTGAATTTAGTAGAATACCCAGCGTTATTAGCAGATGGTCATTTAATTGGAGGAGATCTTGGTATATTGGAGCTCATAAATTATTAGTTAGTTTTGATTTACCTATAAATGATCTGTTTGGTATTTCACATGAGGAGTTTGTTGTTGCTAAAGAACACCTTAAGGCGCTAGACAGTTTTGATTGGTTTTCTGGGCTTTGGAATGATAAAGGGCAGGACAATGGAAATAAATTACGTACTTATCGTCTTTTTAAAGATTTTTTACAAGTTGAATATTATGTTGAAACAATTCTACCTAGGTCACATCGTAGTATATTGAGCAAATTCCGTCGTGGCACTTTGCCTTTAGAGGTAGAATTGGGTAGATATTCTCGTCCGAAGTCTCCCCTTCATGAAAGGGTGTGTACTCGCTGTAGTAGCAATGCCGTTTGAAGATGAATTACATTTTCTGGTTAACTGTGATTATTATTCAGATCTCAGATATAATCTTTGGAAGGAAATAACCAGTGTCCATCCTACATTCCCATTTATGTCAGCAGTAGATAAAATTGAGTTCTTACTTACAAATAACCAGTTCGTAAAGCCCCTTGCCGCACTCATCCATACTATGTTTAGGCGCCGGAATATTTCTGTAGAATAGTTAACTCTACAATGTACTTTGATAATAAGGTCAACATGTATGCTATTTATGTAATTTATGCATTTTAGGTAAGAAAGTGTGTGTGTGTGTGAGTGTGTGTGTGTGTGTGTGTGTGTCTGTCTGTCAGATTCAGATTCAGATTCATTTTTATTCAGTATTTCGGGCCTAAAGGCCTATAGTACAAATACACTTGCTACAATTATATGCACGTGGTGGTTGTGGTGACATTTCTTGCATTGAAGACATGTTTTAAATAAATTGCAATAGATTTGATAATATCAATATTTTTTGAATTTAACAGACTGGACAATATTTGTTCATCTCTTACAGGTGTTGATACAAATACAAATACTTACTTTTTAAATCTAAATACTTGGTACACACAAATAATACATGAAATTCACTTTCAATATTACCTGTATTACAATTTTTACAGATGGATTCATTTACATCACTGAAAGTTCTATTGGGTTTGCGTAAATAGTGAATTCTAAAATCATGAAAGCCAATTCTAAATTTACACAACGCCCGTATTAACGATTTGTCTTGTAGGTGTGTCTGTCTGTCGTAGGTGTCTGTCTGTAGGCTCGTGCGCTTGTGTGTGTGTATGTGTATGTGTGCGTGTGCGTGTGCGTGTGGGTGTGTGAAGGTGTATGCGTTTTGCGTTTGTGCATACGGTTCGGCCTGCGTGTGTGTATGTGTGGGTGTGATTAATGATTATTACTAATGTTTTATACAACTGTGACATTTGTGTCTCATAGGCCTTATGGCCGGATGCTGCTTTTAAATTCTTGCAATAATGTACCGTCTTTTTTTAATGTTCTGCAGCATGTGACACATTAATAAAATATTTCTTCTTCTTCTATCTTTTCTTCTTCTTCTTCTTCTTCTTCTTCTTCTTACTATAAAACCAGCTTAAGTCTGGGCTAGTACAAGCAGCCGCACATACACACACACGCATGCACGTCGTCATATGAGCAAAATATTCTCAAGCACGACGTAAAACCCAATTTCACCTCACCTCACATCCTCTAGTCTATGTAGATAATACGGTGTATATCATATAAAACTGTTGTATACCGTTTACTCCTAACCCTCATCAGTGCACTGCCTCCTTTATCATCAGGATATGTATTGGAAGAATTATACCAAATGTCCATTGCTGGTAGGATGTCCCACATCGGAATATGTAGGTTAACAATGAGTAGAGTTACCTGCCCTTGTCTCCGGGGACAACATCTCTCGTCTGCTGTATGCTTGGAATCCCTAAATACGGTTCCAGGTTTTGAATGACAGGTTCAAGCAAGGAAGCTGAACAGTGATTGAATGCAAACAATCCGTTCGTAGTATTTGCCATGTTTTCAAACGTTTGTTTGGATGTATCAGCGTGTTCAGTCGTACATGTCATGAATGTATATGCTGCTCAAGGTGTTTATGACCCCTGGGATAACAGTAGTTTCACCAGCTTTCAGCAACACCCGAGGAGGAGTGACGCTACGCTAACTTCAAAGTCAGTCTACTTTTACTCCAGATTTACCGATCTATTTACTTCTTCTCTGACCAGGTCTACTTATGTCTGCCCCGGCTCTGCAAGACTCCTTCTGATACAGGTCTAGTCAATCAGGATATAGCCAACCACTTACTCCAGGTCTCAGTACTCTACGATTGTTCTAATTCTCTCAAGTACTGCGTACTTCTACTCATTGTCTTCTAAATTCCTATCTATATATACCCCAGATATACTTTCATTCACTACTCTTCCCTTCTTCTCACGCCTAATTCTCCTACTCAAGATCTACTTTCTTCTGCTTCGGATCGAATTCCTTCTTCTCCAGATCTCCTTTGTTAAAAGGATACATTCCAACCTTGGTATGCATGTGGAAGAAAGCATATATATATATATAACTATATAAATATATCCATACATGCTTTTTCCACATGAATACCAAGGTTGGTATGCATCCTTTTTGACAATGGAGATCTGGAGAAGAAGGAATAATCTAAACTTATCTAAACACTTTAGAGTTACCTCCATCAACAATAGCACTCATCGGGAGTATGGGTACAACACACGAAGGTCATTGAATCTGAAATTTGCACACAGCACTTTGCTAGTATTTTGACGGATTTGATTGTTTAATTGTTTAACTACTCTCACTACACCCATTCAGAATACTTCATCTGTGTTTTTTGGTGCGTACATCTGAGGCAAGACAGTATAACACGAGGGATGACTTCAAGCGTCTCTTTGTGTCGAGTACTATTCCAGCAACTCTATAGTCCGGTGTCTATATTTCACAACGTTGAGATACAACCTAATATGAACTTTCTATTTAACTTTTAAAGAGCATCATATCATGTTTGCTCAAAGGTTGTTTCATCAAGGCCGCAGCGCTCAACAGTAACAATAACAATAGCCTACCAAAGGTTTTATAGAGGCGTTTCCAAATTTGGCGTATCAAATATAATTGCCTTTTTTTTATTCGTCCCAAACGTGTCCGTACTGTTTCAGCAGTGCACAGTTGACTAGACGTTGCATGTGTTTGTGACGGGTGTCAGGGTGTGGCAGGATACGCTCACCTTTTCGCCAACAGCTGTATCAGAACTGCGTGATGGTCATTCATAACCACATGCTCAATATATGGTCGGAATCGTAAGATGGACTCTGAGAATTCTCTTATGAATTTGGACAGTGTTCCGTTGCTGTTATTTATTGGTGACAATATTAAGTCGCTTCAATTCAATCCTCGAGTAAACGTATTTCACAAAGACATACATTTTTTTGTGTGAAATCGATGATGATAGAATAGATCAAATGCACCTTGGCACTTTAATGAATGAGCGAAAGTGTTGAGATGTACACTGATTTACACACCATGGAAAGAATGGCGTTGCAGAAGCTGCATCACGGGACAAAATGTCCAAATCCGGGACTGAAGATGTTGATCAATGACAGGCTTACAAGTCCTGACGAAACACGTAATCAGATTCGATATGATCGTTGTGGTCGTGTGCAGACACATGGGTTTTTAGTTTCACGTTTTACAAAGGCGGTCTTAGAAGTTCGAGATTCTTTAAACTGATGTTTAGTGTTTTAATATTGTTCAGGTGATACAATATCCTTGAATAGTCTACTCAGTAACAACTGGAGGCTATGTACGAACGTCAGTATTACCAGTCAGCCACAATACTGTATACCCTTTTCAGGACGTCACACTGCGTTATTTCCATCACTACCGCTAACAAATATGTCATTTAAGTGTGGTTTTCACACACCATGATAACACGTTCTGATCGCCTAGTCCTGAGAAATATATACAGCTGATGTTTTGGAGCCTATCCCCGCATGCCTATTTGGGGTCAGAATAGGTTTCAGTAGCATATTTTCTTTGGCTGTGAAGAGGGTCAGGTGGTCAGCCTTGAGTAGCCTGGCTTGCATCTACGTCATCCAACAACGTGGCTGCCCTCGTCCAAATATACTGCTGATAGACCCCAGTGATGCCTGGATACTGGAATATGTAATCACTGAAACCAATCACGTTGCAATACTTAAAATAGCAAAGAAATATAACTTTTAAATGTGTTTTTCATTCTGTCTTTATTCACAAAGCAACTTCTCCTCCTTAAGTTAATGTCAATGTTTGCTCATACGTAGATATTACGTGACAAAGTAATACAATGTAACACCTATAACCTGTACAGTGTACAATATCAATCCTCTATCCAACTCTATCAAACATCAGCTGTTGCCAGATTCCTGTAGCTCCAGCTTGTGGTGTTTATACTTCACACCTGTTCAGTTACATCCGGGGACGTTGCTACTAGGAAAGTGTCACGTGACTCTTGTTCAGAGGTTGCTCGATCAAGGTTGAGAGAGGTCATTTTGGTGTAAAGGCCTATGGCCAACGTGCAAATCATAAACATTCATTGAATCACATTGACAAGGTGACAAGAAATTCATTTTAACACAGTAATTACTCATTCAAAACCATTTTCGTTTTAAATGGTGATCCCTGAATAAATTTTGCACAAAAAACTCCACAAAAAAACAAACTATGTATACACGCTTTCCCTTGCAAACTACATGTCTCCATTTTCTAAATGAGAAATTAATGCAGAAAGGACAACCGTTGCACGAGTAAGGGAGGGTTGTTGTGTGCTGGTCTGTCGAGTCGTATTCTCGGTGTTCACAGAAGGTTTACACCACGGGTGCCATCTCAACTTTGTAATAATGGTCTCCGTTGACAATTCTCATTCCAGACACTCTTTCCATTTTCGCTATAATTTGTTTGAATATGTCTGCAACATAAATCAAGTGCGACAAGGTGTACGCTCTCCTTGGAATGCAGAGTTTAACGAAATGTTTCCGATGGTCACGGTCACTACTGTCCTCGACATACAAGACATCTGGAAGATGAGTTCCACGTATGCCCCCTTCAACAAACAGGGCACAGTTCAGGGCCCAAGCTGGATACTGGTAGGTTGGAATATGAGGCAAGCATTTAGCGGCGTTGACGTACACTGCACTTCCAACCGGTTCAACAACAGCCGCTCCAGCTTTCTTCAGTAAATCTCCGAACTGTGCCAGTGTTTCAATGCGATACTTCAAATATCTGTCTTCAATGCCTTCCAATAATCCTGTCGCAATGGCTCGGTGATCTCTGCTGGCAAGACCTCCGAGTCTCCATTTCCCTTCTGTTTGGTTTAACCGGACCCGAAGTTCCAAGAACAGGTCTTCATTTCTGACTGCCAGAAGTCCACCAGTATTGCACAATCCGTCCTTTTTAGCGGATAGGTACAAACCGTCGAAATAGGAAAACATCTCACGAGCAATGTCTCTGGCCGAACAGTTTGCATACGTCCTGTCACGCATTTTGATAAAGTAGGCATTTTCTGCAAAGCGACATCCGTCCATAAACATAACAATACCCTTCTCATGGCAAATCTCAGACGTACGCTTCATGTTTGCCATGGATACTGGCTGTCCTGCCTGGTTATTGCTGGTCAGTGTCAGGACAACCATAGCATGGTCTGACTCCAACCCAGCAAGTTCTTCTTCCAGTTTCTCGCAGTCGATATTACCATTGAAAGGTGCACCATCGACCCACGTGCAAGGAAGTTGGGTAGTTGTCATTTCAACAAGTTGAGCATTGCCTTTAGTTGTAGCATAGAATGTGTTACTGAAGAGTTTAAACCCTGGCTTAACGAGCACCGAGAAGAGAGCGTGCTCCGCTGCCCTTCCCTGGTGAACTGGCAGTATATGAGGGAAACCTGTAAGAGATTCAACGGTTTCACAGAACTGGAAATAACTGTCAGGAATAAAAGACCCTTCTTCTGATTCCATCATGGCTGCCCACTGCTGACTGCTCATTGCCGTTGCTCCAGAATCCGTCCAAAGATCAAATGTAACCAGTCGATCTGGAACCTTGAAAGGGTTGTAACCAGTTTCCAGCATTTTATTCACTCTCTCGTCCCTGGTGATGTTTGGTAACGGTTCCACCATCTTGACACGGAAAGGTTCTACAGGCGCCATTCTATAACACGACAAAGTTTGCAATAATGAATGATAACTAGAGTCTAGATAATTAAAGCAATATTCCAGCAATATCACGGGGTGTGTGTGTGTACCAAAAATGGGCTTCACACACGCTTCGGACAATGTACCTATGTGGGAAAGCAAACCCGGGTCTTCGACGCTACCCCACCGCCCCCCAGTTATATGAAGCGTGTCAGATAGATATGCAGGACGCCGTAAGGGGAACAGACATTCACCACGTTGATTAAGCTAGTGTATGGTGCAGACAAACCTGCAAACACGACGTGACGAACTGGGATTCGAACCGTTTATAATAGGTTTATTATGTGTGCCGCCTCAGACAAATATACATCATGTTGGTTCTTACTGAAACAACTATACATCTTACTGAGACAAATATACACCATGTAGGATCTCACTGAGACAACTATACATCATGTAGGATCTCAATGTGACAACTATACATCATGTAGGATCTCACTGAGACAACTATACATCATGTAAGATCTCACTGTGACAACTATACATCATGTAGGATCTCACTGAGAAAACTATACATCATGTAGGATCTCACTGAGACAACTATACATCATGTAGGATCTCACTGAAGCAAGTATACATCATGTAGGATCTCACTGAGACAACTATACATCATGTAGGATCTCACTGAGACAACTATACATCATGTAGGATCTCACTGAGACAACTATACATCATGTAGGATCTCACTGAGACAACTATACATCATGTAGGATCTCACTGAGACAACTATACACCATGTAGGATCTCACTGTGACAACTATACATCATGTAGGATCTCACTGAGACAACTATACATCATATAGGATCTCACTGAGACAACTATACATCATGTAGGATCTCACTGAGACAACTATACACCATGTAGGATCTCACTGTGACAACTATACATCATGTAGGATCTCACTGAGACAACTATACACCATGTAGGATCTCACTGAGACAACTATACATCATGTAGGATCTCACTGAGACAACTATACATCATGTAGGATCTCACTGAGACAACTATACATCATGTAGGATCTCACTGAGACAACTATACACCATGTAGGATCTCACTGAGAGAACTATACACCATGTAGGATCTCACTGAGACAACTATACACCATGTAGGATCTCACTGAGAGAACTATACACCATGTTGGATCTCACTGAGACAACTATACATCATGTAGGATCTCACTGAGACAACTATACATCATGTAGGATCTCACTGAGACAACTATACATCATGTAGGATCTCACTGGAGACAACTATACACCATGTAGGATCTCACTGAGAGAACTATACACCATGTAGGATCTCACTGAGACAACTATACACCATGTAGGATCTCACTGAGAGAACTATACACCATGTAGGATCTCACTGAGACAACTATAAATCATGTAGGATCTCACTGAGACAACTATACATCATGTAGGATCTCACTGAGACAACTATACATCATGTAGGATCTCACTGAGAGAACTATACACCATGTAGGGTCTCACTGAGACAACTATACATCATGTAGGATCTCGCTGTGACAATTATGTATCATGTAGGATCTCACTGAGAAAACTATACATCATGTAGGATCTCACTGAGACAACTATACATCATGTAGGATCTCACTGAGACAACTATACATCATGTAGGATCTCACTGAGACAACTATACACCATGTAGGATCTCACTGAGACAACTATGTATCAAGTAGGATCTCACTGAAACAATTATGTATCAAGCAGGATCTCACTGAGACAACTATACATCATGTAGGATCTCTCTGTGACAACTATACATCACGTAGGATCTCACTGAGACAACTATGTATCAAGCAGGATCTCACTGAGACAACTATGTATCAAGCAGGATCTCACTGAGACAACTATACACCATGTAGGATCTCACTGAGACAACTATACACCATGTAGGATCTCACTGAGACAACTATGTATCATGTAGGATCTCGCTGAGACAACTATACACCATGTAGGATCTCACTGAGACAACTATGTATCAAGCAGGATCTCACTGAGACAACTATACATCATGTAGGATCTCACTGAGACAACTATACACCATGTAGGATCTCACTGAGAGAACTATACACCATGTAGGATCTCACTGAGACAACTATACACCATGTAGGATCTCACTGAGAGAACTATACACCATGTAGGATCTCACTGAGACAACTATACATCATGTAGGATCTCACTGAGACAACTATACATCATGTAGGATCTCACTGAGACAACTATACATCATGTAGGATCTCACTGAGACAACTATACACCATGTAGGATCTCACTGAGAGAACTATACACCATGTAGGATCTCACTGAGACAACTATACACCATGTAGGATCTCACTGAGAGAACTATACACCATGTTGGATCTCACTGAGACAACTATACATCATGTAGGATCTCACTGAGACAACTATACATCATGTAGGATCTCACTGAGACAACTATACATCATGTAGGATCTCACTGAGACAACTATACACCATGTAGGATCTCACTGAGAGAACTATACACCATGTAGGATCTCACTGAGACAACTATACACCATGTAGGATCTCACTGAGAGAACTATACACCATGTTGGATCTCACTGAGACAACTATACATCATGTAGGATCTCACTGAGACAACTATACATCATGTAGGATCTCACTGAGACAACTATACATCATGTAGGATCTCACTGAGAGAACTATACACCATGTAGGGTCTCACTGAGACAACTATACATCATGTAGGATCTCGCTGTGACAATTATGTATCATGTAGGATCTCACTGAGAAAACTATACATCATGTAGGATCTCACTGAGACAACTATACATCATGTAGGATCTCACTGAGACAACTATACATCATGTAGGATCTCACTGAGACAACTATACACCATGTAGGATCTCACTGAGACAACTATGTATCAAGTAGGATCTCACTGAGACAATTATGTATCAAGCAGGATCTCACTGAGACAACTATACATCATGTAGGATCTCTCTGTGACAACTATACATCACGTAGGATCTCACTGAGACAACTATGTATCAAGCAGGATCTCACTGAGACAACTATGTATCAAGCAGGATCTCACTGAGACAACTATACACCATGTAGGATCTCACTGAGACAACTATACATCATGTAGGATCTCACTGAGAGAACTATACACCATGTAGGATCTCACTGAGACAACTATACACCATGTAGGATCTCACTGAGACAACTATACATCATGTAGGATCTCACTGAGACAACTATACACCATGTAGGATCTCACTGAGACAACTATACATCATGTAGGATCTCACTGAGACAACTATACATCATGTAGGATCTCACTGAGACAACTATACATCATGTAGGATCTCACTGAGACAACTATACACCATGTAGGATCTCACTGAGAGAACTATACACCATGTAGGATCTCACTGAGACAACTATACACCATGTAGGATCTCACTGAGAGAACTATACACCATGTTGGATGTCACTGAGACAACTATACATCATGTAGGATCTCACTGAGACAACTATACATCATGTAGGATCTCACTGAGACAACTATACATCATGTAGGATCTCACTGAGACAACTATACACCATGTAGGATCTCACTGAGAGAACTATACACCATGTAGGATCTCACTGAGACAACTATACACCATGTAGGATCTCACTGAGAGAACTATACACCATGTTGGATCTCACTGAGACAACTATACATCATGTAGGATCTCACTGAGACAACTATACATCATGTAGGATCTCACTGAGACAACTATACATCATGTAGGATCTCACTGAGACAACTATACATCATGTAGGATCTCACTGAGACAACTATACATCATGTAGGATCTCACTGAGACAACTATACACCATATAGGATCTCACTGAGACAACTATGTATCAAGCAGGATCTCACTGAGACAATTATGTATCAAGCAGGATCTCACTGAGACAACTATACATCATGTAGGATCTCTCTGTGACAACTATACATCACGTAGGATCTCACTGAGACAACTATGTATCAAGCAGGATCTCACTGAGACAACTATGTATCAAGCAGGATCTCACTGAGACAACTATACACCATGTAGGATCTCACTGAGACAACTATACATCATGTAGGATCTCACTGAGACAACTATACACCATGTAGGATCTCACTGTGACAACTATACATCATGTAGGATCTCACTGAGACAACTATACATCATATAGGATCTCACTGAGACAACTATACATCATGTAGGATCTCACTGAGACAACTATACACCATGTAGGATCTCACTGTGACAACTATACATCATGTAGGATCTCACTGAGACAACTATACACCATGTAGGATCTCACTGAGACAACTATACATCATGTAGGATCTCACTGAGACAACTATACATCATGTAGGATCTCACTGAGACAACTATACATCATGTAGGATCTCACTGAGACAGCTATACACCATGTAGGATCTCACTGAGAGAACTATACACCATGTAGGATCTCACTGAGACAACTATACACCATGTAGGATCTCACTGAGAGAACTATACACCATGTTGGATCTCACTGAGACAACTATACATCATGTAGGATCTCACTGAGACAACTATACACCATGAAGGATCTCACTGAGACAACTATACATCATGTAGGATCTCACTGAGACAACTATACATCATGTAGGATCTCACTGAGACAACTATACATCATGTAGGATCTCACTGAGACAACTATACACCATGTAGGGATCTCACTGAGAGAACTATACACCATGTAGGATCTCACTGAGACAACTATACACCATGTAGGATCTCACTGAGAGAACTATACACCATGTTGAGATCTCACTGAGACAACTATACATCATGTAGGATCTCACTGAGACAACTATACATCATGTAGGATCTCACTGAGACAACTATACATCATGTAGGATCTCACTGAGACAACTATACACCATGTAGGATCTCACTGAGAGAACTATACACCATGTAGGATCTCACTGAGACAACTATACACCATGTAGGATCTCACTGAGACAACTATGTATCAAGTAGGATCTCACTGAGACAATTATGTATCAAGCAGGATCTCACTGAGACAACTATACATCATGTAGGATCTCTCTGTGACAACTATACATCACGTAGGATCTCACTGAGACAACTATGTATCAAGCAGGATCTCACTGAGACAACTATGTATCAAGCAGGATCTCACTGAGACAACTATACACCATGTAGGATCTCACTGAGACAACTATACACCATGTAGGATCTCACTGAGACAACTATGTATCATGTAGGATCTCGCTGAGACAAGTATACACCATGTAGGATCTCACTGAGACAACTATGTATCAAGCAGGATCTCACTGAGACAACTATATATCAAGCAGGATCTCACTGAGACAACTATACATCATGTAGGATCTCACTGAGACAACTATGTATCAAGCAGGATCTCACTGAGACAACTATGTGTCAAGCAGGATCTCACTGAGACAACTATACATCATGTAGGATCTCGCTGTGACAACTATACACCAAGCATGATGTTATTGTCTGGATAAAGGAGCCAAATATCAACATTAAATACTCCCGTATATTATAGTCAATAGCATGAGGAACGTCAGGTACAAGCTGACGGGATGACATAAACATATACATAACATAAACAATTCGTGGAGCAAGACCCAACGCATTATGGGGAGTCGACACATTTAATACAGGCATCACCGTATTGCCTCAACTTAAACTGTATCATTTAACACACTTGTCTTTTCACAAACACATTTCAATGGCTTTACATACCTCAAAGTCTGGGTTATGACGGACGACGTGGTTGCTCTGAGAAGAAAGCAGATGTATTACCATATGTACAGACCGCCAACCTGCTGTCTGGGACCATCACCATTGGTAATCGTGACGTATACCTCGAACAATATACCTTATAAGCTGTCACAAGTCATGCTGCCTCTTCTGATGTGGCATGTGTCCCAGTTTTCCTCCACCACACATCAGTAAACAAGTAAGCCAACACATATTATTAGAAAAAACAAGAAAAGTAAACATGAAATATTTTTTTAAATTTCATCTTTAATCATGTAGTTGACAAATATCTTCTCTTTTAATTAGAGCGGTGGGGTTGCCTAGTGGTTAAACCGTTCGCTCGTCACACCGAAGATCCTATGATTAAAAGAAAGAAATTGGTCATGATTTAGTGATTAGTGCAACATGAACACACAGGAACTTGTGTAGGTTGTGGTGGCAAGTAGGGACACCCTCGTTCAGACATATATTTTGAATGATATTTTTCCACTCAAGAATGTAACCACCTGATATACACATGAGCATTAATTAAGCACCACCGGGTAATACTTTTGGGGTCCAAACAAGCATCAAACCCAATCTTACTTCAGTGGACGTGCTTCACACGATATTTCAACATCTGTGGGTTGCATGTCCACGTGCTGCAAGCACATTGGAATATGTATTTCACAACTTCCTTGTAAGGGTGATTAACCTATACATATTTCACAACTTCAGAGTGTGCACTATGCACTCTCAACTCGACAGTACTAACATATGTTTTCCTGACGCAGCCTGGTTCCCGGGGTCTGCTGCGCTACGCTTCAACTCTGACCCCGGCAATGACTACCGAGTGTCTGTCACCAGTACAACGCCCATCGTTACAAAAACATCAAGTTTTGAGGAGGGGTGGGGATTGTGGGACATTTTGTTCTGAGGAACCTGTTGGTATTAAATCACAATAGTGAACTGGTCAACAAATTCAAAGCAAATTCTCCAACATTCAAAGCAAAATCACTGATTGTGTGTTTAGCCATTTATGTATGCACTGCTGTAAAGCATAATAAAGTAAAGCAACGCAGCATTTAACTCAACTAGTTATTTGATATCTGACTGAATAACTGTTAATATCAAATTATACGATTATGGACTTGTAGCAGATGTCTTCTAATAGCCGCATAAACTCAAAATGATCTAAATGTATACTCTAGTAATAACTTCGTGCCATCAAAATTACAGTACTCTGGACAGGTTTCATTGGTAAAAGTCACCCTTAATTCAACAGTTCACAAATAATGGAATGTACATCTGTCTAAGAAGTTATTTTCTATGTATGTTTATGGTAATGTACGAATGTTTATGGTAATGTATGTATGTTTATAGTAATGTATTAACATACTAATCATACTGTGTACTCTTATATTTTCAGTTTAGTCAAATATTGTTTCAAATTCATTGTATTAGGCAGTGTATGCGTGTGTATTTTTGCATACAGATAATTTCGTTCACCATGATTATTACAATCATAAACCTTTCTGAATAATATGGGTATGATAATTTTTCATGTTTTGCAAACTGGTTCAGACACAGATGTGACAACATTTTGTGAAATAAGTATATATAGTGCTATATACATGGATCTGTTTTAAAGCTTTTACAAATGATATGTGCCAAAGTAACTCAAGATAATGAATATATTTTTCCCTACCCCCACAGTTAAAAAACTTGATCAGTTATGCCCTCATTATGCATTAGAAAACAAATAGATAATTGATGAATTTTCATATTAACAGAAATCCAGAGGCTTAATAATTAGGATAACCAATCCTGTCATCATCATTCATATAGATCTAAAACTTTCGTAGAGGTTAATCACCCTTTAGCCCGAGCAGAGTTTATTTAAACAACTACCGTAGTGAGGGTGATTAAACGGCTTACACCACGAGGGCATACTTATTTAATATGCGTGTAATGTATTAGGCATGATGAAGATTATCAAAGTGAGTACAATATTATTGTTTTTAAATAGAAATAATTGCCCTAGGGCAGTAAATCAGTTATTCTAATAAAACACTTCCACGAACAATGGGCATAACCTAGTTATTTCACTGGGCGATCGAAAAATATATCCACTCACCTACCATGTAACAATGGAAGATACGGGACATAATCGGCGATATTATTGGCATCAAATTTGCTAAAATATAAATGCTACCTATATTTAATCAATGTGGTCGTTCAGATTTCGTGAAAATAGCGAGCTGACATGAAAATGGGGTGTGTGTCAGGACATTACATGTCGGTCTGAGGGAATGGGGATGCCATTGATGCCAGGTTCGAGGTAGAGATCCTCCTCTTCGAACACAGAGGAATTGACTCTGGCACTCCACGAATGGCAGAATATTCTAATGCTGAGAATTCGGGGTTTGATGGAGTATGAGGAGGAGTCGCAGATGTTATCCGTACGAGGGGTGGCAACACGAGGTACTGACGTGGCAGCCAGTGGTTGGTTGTTCATGGGGACAATCAGATTGGTGCGGTTGTCATGGTGACCATACTTTCCGGCGTTGTTGATATTCACGTTTCTGAGTATTAATTCAAAATTTAGGATTAGATCCCCAGTATCTCATGCTTGCCATAAGAACCAACTGAAATGGTGATTGGATGGTCAGGTTTTGGGAAGTGTTTGTGTGGTTATCCAGAGTTGTGCATCATTGCTGAAACTCTCTGTCACTTGGCAGCTCCTGGACAAAGTAGGACTTAGTAGGACTTAGTATCTCCTACGTAGGACTTAGTATCACCTACGTAGGAGTTAGTATCTACTAAGTGGGTATCTCCTACGTAGGACTTAGTATCTCCTACGTAGGAATTAGTATCTACTAAGTGGGTATCTCCTACATAGGAATAACTATCTCCTACGTAGGACTTAGTATCTCCTACGTAGGAGTTAGTTTCTCCTAAGTGGGTATCTCCTACGTAGGACTTAATATCTCCTACATAGGAATTAGTATCTCCTACTTAGTATCTCCTACGTCGGACTTAGTATCTCCTACGTAGGACTTAGTATCTCCAAAGTGGGCATCTCCTACGTAGGACTTAGTATCTCATACGTAGGACTTAGTATCTCCTACGTAGGACTTAATATCTCCTACGTAGGACATAGTATATCCTACGTAGGACTTAGTAACTCCTAAGTGAGTATCTCCTACGTAGGAGATCCTAAGTCCTACGTAGGACTTAGTATCTCCTACGTAAGACATAGTATCTCCTACGTAGTACTTAATATTTCCTGTAGGAGATGATCGATATACCATTATATAGATTAATCTGAAACGGTCGACTTAAAGCCCCAGACACGCACACAATCTCCTGTTTCACTGTTTCAGTCACTGTGAGAGTCTACAGTCATTCGTTTCATTCACTATTAGAGTCTACAGCTATGTGTTTCAATTTACTATTAGAGTCTACTGTTCCCTTCACTATTAGAGTCATGTGTTCAACTATTTGTTGCACATTAGTACTGTGTTGGACCGACTGTTATACTACTGCCTCGCGTTCAGTTTGCTCTACTATTACGCGTTGCAGTTAGTTCACTGTTATATGTTGCACTTTGTTACACTTTACTATTATGCGTTGGATATTTCAGAGGACGTTGCACAGGAATCATAATCTGCGTGTACAGACGTGTGTTAGACTATCGGTGGCAATCTATGTGTACGCATCCCCTTATTATTATACAAATAACTATAATGACAATTCTTTGCCTTTTTGAATTTCGTATTGTTTTACGCCGCACTCAACACTTGTCCACCCCAGTCAAGTCAACCTGTAAACAATTACGAATAAAACCGCAAACGAGCGTTGCATCCGATCCAACTTAGCCCCATCCAGACAAGCAACAACTTGCGGAGGTCGTGTTATAATCCGAGTTTCATATCACAACCTCACCCCAACCATCCCACCCACCTCTCTCTCTGTGTGTGTGTGTGTGTGAATAGATGTATGTATGATAGATTAAACATAACCATACCCAAACCTCCATAACTGCAATTAGAACAGGGTCCACGTCACCCTAACGTAATACACACACAATAACACTGTATAGTAACACTGCGTTAGTGTCATGAATATCCACTGACTCACATTTCGACTATCTAACGTCCTGCATAGCCAAACATTTCTCAACTTAATAACCATCCTTAAAAAGGATATATTAAGTACTACGTAGGAGATAGTATGCCCTACGTAGGAGATAGTAAATCCTACGTAGCAGATAGTTAGTCCTACGTAGGAGATAGTGACCCCCAAAAATAATTTCACCGTGGCCCTACTACGCTTCCGTACGATAATGTGAATACAAAACACTTTCCTCCAATTTGAATAAACCAGTCATTACTTACACTTAACAAATTCAAATCACACTAATCATATTCACATTTAAAGGGAAATAGCACCCGCTTTTATTGCATGAATTATTCACACATACATGAAAACACAAACTTATCAATTTTGTTGTCTGATGGCACAAACAATATTTACTCTTAATATGTTTCAATTTGACACAATGTAAATTTTTGTACATCGAAATGTTTTTGTGGTGCAACATGTTCTAATAAATTAAAACAACGTAGAAAGCGTTCACGTTCTACATCCACGTGGCAAGTGCTGACTGAGGTGTTAAATTAGAGATAATCATACTGTGTAAGAAAATCAGAGGTATATAACGAAATTATAATAGCTCTAAATTTGATTTAAAACGGAACGCGTAGTTGTTATAACGTGATTATATACCTCTGAATGACTTTGATTAACCAATCACAATCCAGTATTTACTGAAGTCATGGTAGAATATGGCTTGTTAGTCATGGAGTAAAAATGAATACAAGGTGGGTTCGTTGCTATGGGGAAGTATTGAGAAGGATCGTGCATACACGCAATACAACCCATTATCTACATATGAAAACCTGATAATAAAACCTGATAAAACCAGTATGGGACTATTTCACGAACATGTATTTCGGAATTTCTATTAAGTAGTGCTATTGCCAGGATGCCATGTGTTCGCGCCGAGATGTGTGTATCCTGTCTGTCCCGTGGAACACACAAACACATGCTAAGTCAAGCCAGGTTTACAGCCAAAATCTCACCCACGGGAACATATGGGTCAAGTCAGGTTTACAGCTAAAATCTCACCCACGGGAACATATGGGTCAAGTCAGGTTTACAGCTAAAATCTCACCCACGGGAACATATGGGTCAAGTAAAAATTTCCATTTCCTGCGTAAATTTCTTCCTTGAATTTGGCCTGTCGGATGTGGTGTGGAAACTCGATAAAAATCTTTTTGACAGAATTGGATTTATTCCTGTCTGAGATTGCAAAATTTCAAGCAAATCAGACACCTAGCCTCCCATGAATCAGACACCTTGACTCTCATGGATCAGACACCTACCCCCACACGGACCTGACACCTACCCCCCATGGATCAGACACCTAGCTTCCCATGGATCAGACAAATAGCCTCACATGGATCAGACACCTAGCCTCCCATTGATCAGACACCTACTCTGCCATGGATCAGACTAGCGTCTCTTTACTTCTGTTTTGAATCTGACAAACTGGTATTTCATAATAATTTTCTGTGAGGTGCTGACTGCGTCGAAAGATTATTCTACGGTAACTAGGTAACAGTTATATTATCTGAAAAAATACTGGCAAACATGATCAGAGACGTAACAGTAGATGACTTTATCCTAAGCATAATCAGGATTGGTGAAGAAGGCATTTTCCGAATCATTGTCTGGATGGATATGCTCCATGTTGGTAGCACCGCCATGTTTCGGAGGCTCGTTGTGGATGGGGTCGTTAGTACGGTCGCCATATTCCGAAACATTAATGTCGATACGGCCACTTTCATCACCACCCACAGCGTAGAGTGTGTTGCTGTCGCGGACGACATAGAGGCTGGTGGATTCAGGAAACTTCTGGGGAGGAATGTCTGGTTTCAAGAAGGCTGCAGTCAGCAGAATTATGAAGCCTGCTATGTCGAAGAACCCTCCAATCAAGCAGACAAACAAGCACCACCCAACCGTCCACTCCTGTCGAGCGCCAAGAGCCACTCCATAGATGATAACGCCCACAATGTTGCATATGGCTGAAATGGCAATGTCCAGATAAGTATACATTTTTGTATTTTCGGAAAATGTCCAACCACGACTCATTGTTCATGAGTGAATATAGATAAACATTAATTTCAGTTCTACCACTGTGTATCAGCTTGATGTGGAAGTGTTTCAGTTATATCTTTCACACAAGGCCCACTCTACCATCTGTATGTATACTCACCGGTCGCCAGAACAAAACCAGCCACTTTCACACATGACCCACTCTACCATCTGTATGTATACTCACCGGTCGCCAGAACAAAACCAGCCACTTTCACACATGACCCACTCTACCATCTGTATGTATACTCACCGGTCGCCAGAACAAAACCAGCCACTTTCACACATGACCCACTCTACCATCTGTATGTATACTCACCGGTCGCCAGAACAAAACCAGCCACTTTCACACAAGACCCACTCTACCATCTGTATGTATACTCACCGGCCACCAGAACAAAACCAGCCACTTTCACACATGACCCACTCTACCATCTGTATGTATACTCACCGGTCGCCAGAACAAAACCAGCCACTTTCACACAAGGCCCACTCTACCATCTGTATGTATACTCACCGGTCGCCAGAACAAAACCAGCCACTTTCACACATGACCCACTCTACCATCTGTATGTATACTCACCGGTCGCCAGAACAAAACCAGCCACTTTCACACATGGCCCACTCTACCATCTGTATGTATACTCACCGGTCGCCAGAACAAAACCAGCCACTTTCACACATGACCCACTCTACCATCTGTATGTATACTCACCGGTCGCCAGAACAAAACCAGCCACTTTCACACAAGAGCCCACTCTACCATCTGTATGTATACTCACCGGTCGCCAGAACAAAACCAGCCACTTTTACACATGACCCACTCTACCATCTGTATGTAAACTCACCGGCCACCAGAATAAAACCAGCCACTTTTACACATGACCCACTCTACCATCTGTATGTATACTCACCGGTCGCCAGAACAAAACCAGCCACTTTCACACATGACCCACTCTACCATCTGTATGTATACTCACCGGTCGCCAGAACAAAACCAGCCACTTTCACACATGACCCACTCTACCTTCTGTATGTAAACTCACCGGCCACCAGAATAAAACCAGCAGCTTTCACACATGACCCACTCTAACATCTGTATGTATACTCACCAGCCACCAGAACAAAACCAGCCACTTTCACACAAGGCCCACTCTAACATCTGTATGTATACTCACCGGCCACCAGAACAAAACCAGCCACTTTCACACATGACCCACTCTAACATCTGTATGTTAACTCACCGGCCACCAGAACAAAACCAGCCACTTTCACACAAGGCCCACTCTAACATCTGTATGTATACTCACCGGTCACCAGAACAAAACCAGCCACTTTCACACAAGGCCCACTCTAACATCTGTGTGTATACTCACCGGCCACCAGAACAAAACAAGCCACTTTCACACACGACCCACTCTAACATCTGTATGTTAACTCACCGACAACCAGAACAAAACCAGCCACTTTCACACAAGGCCCACTCTAACATCTGTATGTATACTCACCGGTCACCGGAACAAAACCAGCCACTTTCACACAAGGCCCACTCTTACATCTGTATGTATACTCACCAGCCACCAGAACAAAACCAGCCACTTTCACACAAGGCTCACTCTAACATCTGTATGTATACTCACCGGCCACCAGAACAAAACCAGCCACTTTCACACAAGGCCCACTCTAACATCTGTGTGTATACTCACCGGCCACCAGAACAAAACCAGCCACTTTCACACATCACCCACTCTAACATCCGTATGTATACTCACCGGCCGCCAGAACAAAACCAGCCACTTTCACACATGACCCACTCTGACATCTGTATGTATACTCACCGGCCACCAGAACAAAACCAGCCACTTTCACACAAGGCCCACTCTAACATCTGTATGTATACTCACTGGCCACCAGAACAAAACCAGCCACTTTCACACAAGGCCCACTCTAACATCTGTGTGTATACTCACCGGTCACCAGAACAAAACCAGCCACTTTCACACATGGCCCACTCTAACATCTGTATGTATACTCACCGGCCACCAGAACAAAACCAGCCACTTTCACACACAGGCCCACTCTAACATCTGTGTGTATACTCACCGGCCACTAGAACAAAACCAGCCACTTTCACACAAGGCCCACTCTAACATCTGTGTGTATACTCACCGGCCACCAGAACAAAACCAGCCACTTTCACACAAGGCCCACTCTGACATTTGTGTGTATACTCACCGGCCACAATAAGGGCACGAGTCACTTTAACACAAGGCCCACTCTGACATCTGTGTGTATACTCACCGGCCACCAGAACAAAACGAGTCACTTTCACACAAGGCCCACTCTGACATTTGTGTGTATACTCACCGGCCACAAGAACAAAACGAGTCACTTTTCACACAAGGCCCACTCTGACATTTGTGTGTATACTCACCGGCCACAATAAGGGCACGAGTCACTTTAACACAAGGCCCACTCTGACATTTGCGTGTATACTCACCGGCCACCATAAGGGCACGAGTCACTTTAACACAAGGCCCACTCTGACATTTGTGTGTATACTCACCGGCCACAATAAGGGCACGAGTCACTTTAACACAAGGCCCACTCTGACATTTGCGTGTATACTCACCGGCCACCATAAGGGCACGAGTCACTTTAACACAAGGCCCACTCTGACATTTGTGTGTATACTCACCGGCCACAATAACAAAACGAGCCACTTTAACACAAGGCCCACTCTGACATTTGCGTGTATACTCACCGGCCACAATAAGGGCACGAGTCACTTTAACACAAGGCCCACTCTGACATTTGTGTGTATACTCACCGGCCACCATAAGGGCACGAGTCACTTTAACACAAGGCCCACTCTGACATTTGCGTGTATACTCACCGGCCACCATAAGGGCACGAGTCACTTTAACACAAGGCCCACTCTGACATGTGTGTGTATACTCACCGGCCACAATAAGGGCACGAGTCACTTTAACACAAGGCCCACTCTGACATTTGCGTGTATACTCACCGGCCACCATAAGGGCACGAGTCACTTTAACACAAGGCCCACTCTGACATTTGTGTGTATACTCACCGGCCACCATAAGGGCACGAGTCACTTTAACACAAGGCCCACTCTGACATTTGCGTGTATACTCACCGGCCAGAAGGATGAAAGCAGCCATGGTGAAGAGGAAGCATCTATGGTAGAGCCCCACCGAGACGTAGATGTAGACGGGCATCACGACCAGGGGGATGGCCACGCAGATCATGGCCACGCTCTCCAAACCTCGGACAGCGTTCAGCCAGTCTGGAATTCGTGATTAAAGGCCTAAATGCTGAATTTGTTGAGGTAGATTCTGGCTTTTAGTCTTAGAATATGCTCCTATTTTATATTACCGCAGGGACTGCAGTGTAACGAGGTGGTCAGGAAATACGATTGTATCAGCTGGATTGTGGAGCGTGGAATACCTGTTACCTTATGTAGGGATGATTCCGTAAACAGACATAGGCAATCAGTTGACGTGATTAACGGGAACACTCACACTGGATTTACGCACAGTTTGTAAAGTTACTTCATGAGTTTAACTACGTCGTAAACATCAATTATTTGAAAATCACACAAGATAAATGTATGATTATCGCCTGGAATCCCGTATCATACCGTATATTGTATATAGGTATATAAATAGTTATATGCAATCCTTTTGTTATCAAGGGGATTCTCATTGTATAAGTAGCATAACTTACTACAAGCTACCAGTAAACTGTTCGCTAATACTAATTACCCTCTTCCCAGAGGCAACTGTTAATATGAAATGGTAATTTTCTGACTGATGTTTTGGAAATCAACTTGATTTGGGACTGAGTGTGTTTAAAAGGGTCGGAGAAACGCATCCAAGCAGATGTTGTTCCGTTTGCTCGTAATGTGCAGGAAACAAGGGACAATTTGCACTACTTACGGAATGGTGCACAGAAGACTTCATTGTTGATGTTGGTGTTGCAGGACTGCCACACACTTCCTCCATCAAGACCTTGGTTAGGACGAAAAATGACAATGTACGCAAGCTAACATAGATATAACTGGAATCACAAGGCTGTAATAACACGTCACAAGGCTAGCGGGGTGTTCGCTGTAATATCACGTCACAAGACTAGGAGGTGTTCGGTGTAATTTCACGTCACAAGTCTAAGAAGTGTTCGGTGTAATATCACGTCACAAGGCTAGGAGGTGTTCGGTGTAATATCACGTCACAAGGCTAGGAGGTGTTCGCTGTAATATTACGTCACAAGACTAGGAAGTGTTCGCTGTAATGTCACGTCACAAGACTAGGAGGTGTTCGGTGTAATATCACGTTACAAGTCTAGGAAGTGTTCGCTGTAATATAACGTCACAAGACTAGGAAGTGTTCGCTGTAATGTCACGTCACAAGTCTAGGAGGTGTTCGCTGTAATATCACGTTACAAGTCTAGGAAGTGTTCGCTGTAATATCACGTCACAAGACTAGGAGGTGTTCGCTGTAATATCACGTTACAAGTCTAGGAAGTGTTCGCTGTAATATCACGTCATAAGACTAGGAGGTGTTCGCTGTAATATCACGTTACAAGTCTAGGAAGTGTTCGCTGTAATATCACGTCACAAGTCTAGGAGGTGTTCGGTGTAATATCACGTCACAAGTCTAGGAGGTGTTCGGTGTAATATCACGTTACAAGACTAGGAGGTGTTCGGTGTAATATCACGCCACAAGTCTAGGAGGTGTTCGGTGTAATATCACGTCACAAGTCTAGGAGGTGTTCTGTGTAATATCACGTCATAAGTCTAGGAGGTGTTCGGTGTAATATCACGTCACAAGACTAGGAGGTGTTCGGTGTAATATCACGTCACAAGACTAGGAGGTGTTCGGTGTAATATCACGTCACAAGACTAGGAGGTGTTCGGTGTAATATCACGTCACAAGTCTAGGAGGTGTTCGGTGTAATATCACGTCACAAGACTAGGAGGTGTTCGGTGTAATATCACGTTACAAGTCTAGGAAGTGTTCGTTGTAATATCACGTCACAAGTCTAGGAGGTGTTCGGTGTAATATCACGTCATAAGTCTAGGAGGTGTTCGCTGTAATATCACGTTACAAGTCTAGGAGGTGTTCGGTGTAATATCACGTCACAAGTCTAGGAAGTGTTCGCTGTAATATCACGTCACAAGTCTAGGAGGTGTTCGGTGTAATATCACGTCATAAGTCTAGGAGGTGTTCGGTGTAATATCACGTTACAAGACTAGGAGGTGTTCGGTGTAATATCACGTCACAAGTCTAGGAGGTGTTCGGTGTAATATCACGTCACAAGTCTAGGAGGTGTTCGGTGTAATATCACGTCAAAAGTCTAGGAGGTGTTCGCTGTAATATCACGTCACAAGACTAGGAGGTGTTCGGTGTAATATCACGTCACAAGTCTAGGAGGTGTTCGGTGTAATATCACGTCACAAGACTAGGAGGTGTTCGGTGTAATATCACGTCACAAGACTAGGAGGTGTTCGGTGTAATATCACGTCACAAGTCTAGGAGGTGTTCTGTGTAATATCACGTCACAAGACTAGGAGGTGTTCGGTGTAATATCACGTTACAAGTCTAGGAAGTATTCGTTGTAATATCACGTCACAAGTCTAGGAGGTGTTCGGTGTAATATCACGTCATAAGTCTAGGAGGTGTTCGGTGTAATATCACGTCACAAGTCTAGGAGGTGTTCGGTGTAATATCACGTCACAAGTCTAGGAGGTGTTCGGTGTAATAACACGTCATAAGTCTAGGAGGTGTTAGGTGTAATATCACGTCACAAGGCTAGGAAGTGTTCGGTGTAATATCACGTCACAAGACTAGGAGGTGTTCGGTGTAATATCACGTCACAAGGCTAGGAAGTGTTCGTTGTAATATCACGTCACAAGACTAGGAGGTGTTCGGTGTAATATCACGTCATAAGTCTAGGAGGTGTTCGCTGTAATATCACGTTACAAGTCTAGGAGGTGTTCGGTGTAATATCACGTTACAAGTCTAGGAAGTGTTCGCTGTAATATCACGTCACAAGTCTAGGAGGTGTTCGGTGTAATATCACGTCATAAGTCTAGGAGGTGTTCGGTGTAATATCACGTTACAAGACTAGGAGGTGTTCGGTGTAATATCACGCCACAAGTCTAGGAGGTGTTCGGTGTAATATCACGTCACAAGTCTAGGAGGTGTTCGGTGTAATATCACGTCATAAGTCTAGGAGGTGTTCGCTGTAATATCACGTCACAAGACTAGGAGGTGTTCGGTGTAATATCACGTCACAAGTCTAGGAGGTGTTCGGTGTAATATCACGTCACAAGACTAGGAGGTGTTCGGTGTAATATCACGTCACAAGTCTAGGAGGTGTTCGGTGTAATATCACGTCACAAGTCTAGGAGGTGTTCGGTGTAATATCACGTCACAAGACTAGGAGGTGTTCGGTGTAATATCACGTTACAAGTCTAGGAAGTGTTCGGTGTAATATCACGTCACAAGTCTAGGAGGTGTTCGGTGTAATATCACGTCATAAGTCTAGGAGGTGTTCGCTGTAATATCACGTCACAAGTCTAGGAGGTGTTCGGTGTAATATCACGTCACAAGTCTAGGAGGTGTTCGGTGTAATATCACGTCATAAGTCTAGGAGGTGTTAGGTGTAATATCACGTTACAAGTCTAGGAAGTGTTCGTTGTAATATCACGTCACAAGTCTAGGAGGTGTTCGGTGTAATATCACGTCACAAGTCTAGGAGGTGTTCGCTGTAATATCACGTCACAAGTCTAGGAAGTGTTCTGTGTAATATCACGTCACAAGTCTAGGAAGTGTTCGATGTAATATCACGTCACAAGACTAGGAGGTGTTCGGTGTAATATCACGTCACAAGTCTAGGAAGTGTTCGGTGTAATATCACGTCACAAGTCTAGGAAGTGTTCGCTGTAATATCACGTCACAAGACTAGGAGGTGTTCGCTGTAATATCACGTCACAAGTCTAGGAAGTGTTCTCTGTAATATCACGTCACAAGGCTAGGAAGTGTTCTGTGTAATATCACGTCACAAGACTAGGAGGTGTTCGCTGTAATATCACGTCACAAGACTAGGAGGTGTTCGCTGTAATATCACGTCACAAGTCTAGGAAGTGTTCTCTGTAATATCACGTCACAAGGCTAGGAGGTGTTCTGTGTAATATCACGTCACAAGGCTAGGAAGTGTTCTGTGTAATATCACGTCACAAGGCTAGGAGGTGTTCGCTGTAATATCACGTCACAAGGCTAGGAGGTGTTCGGTGTAATATCACGTCACAAGTCTAGGAAGTGGCTAGGAGGTGTTCGGTGTAATATCACGTCACAAGGCTAGGAAGTGTTCGGTGTAATATCACGTCACAAGTCTAGGAAGTGTTCGCTGTAATATCACGTCACAAGGCTAGGAAGTGTTCGGTGTAATATCACGTCACAAGGCTAGGAAGTGTTCTGTGTAATATCACGTCACAAGGCTAGGAAGTGTTCTCTGTAATATCACGTCACAAGACTAGGAGGTGTTCGCTGTAATATCACGTCACAAGTCTAGGAAGTGTTCGGTGTAATATCACGTCACAAGACTAGGAGGTGTTCTCTGTAATATTATTATGAGGAAGAACAAGGCACTGATTTCACTCGAGTGATTTGGACCCGTGAGTTCAGGTACTACCCTAATCAATGGGTACCGTGACGCCAGTTAATGCGTACATCTTGATCAATTTCATGGAAACCTCTGATATATTATTAAGTTTATCTTCTTACTTCTGTCTAAATCATGAAGATTATGTCAGGAGCTAGAGACGTGTTTGAGAACATGGCAGATCTATTGATGAATGGGGACAAGTATAAGCGATATCACCCTGCATGTTGAGTTCGTGTATACAACAGGATCGTTATTAACGAGTGTTCGCTTTTGAAACGAGTGTGAGCTGCAGGTGTTATAGTGTATAGACTGCACTAGTACGCATACAACCTAGTTTGTATAACTTTAAGATTCTTTTCAAATCGCGAGGGTCTTTGCAATGGCAACTGTTCACAATTCGTCACAATATGTCTTTTCTAACGGCTTTTACTGTAGTAGATAGACCATGGCAATTGCTGAATATATCTGAAAGAACACTTTGAGGTACGTGTGTGGTCATGCGTGCTTCAACGCTTAGCGTTTGCTATAGTTAGATGACATATGCAAGTCGTGTCTATCATGTCAGTAGTAAATGCATTTTGACTGCTACTGGCGCACAGTGATTATCAGATCCTATTTAACTCAGAATATGAAATGTTGACATGTTGTTATTTTGTTGCTGTAATGTTTTATAACACGATACGACAGCACAAACGCCCGTAGATAGAACGTCTACTATCAGAGCAGTGTAGGGTGGCCATGTAGATAAGCGTCACCTCGTCATACCAAATACCCTATATGGGTGCAAAGTAGGTGACCAATTGTCGACCCACCGCCGTCGGCATAAGACGATACAAAGTGCGTCATAAAACAGTACTCATTCACTCACTCACTCAGTTAAATTCGTTATGAAACTGTAGCATCCACTGTAACATGTTGTGACACTATCGTACTCACCTTTCAGATTCCATGGGTAGTTAAAGTGGATACAACCGTCATGGGGTCCATTCAAACACCACCACCGCCGCCATAGCCCGAGGGACCCGGAGGAATCCCAGGCCCAGAATGAAGCAGCGAATGATGTAATCTGCAGACATTCAGCTACAAGTAAGACAACGCAGCCTACAAGAGGCAGAAAGCCATATGTGCGTATCCCCGTCATTACTGGAAGGGGAGCGCTGGAGGTACTCCACACGGTTGTAGGTGGCCACAGATCTTTGGTGATACTAGTTTAGCATTACAAAACTCGATTTTCCTGTTTGCGTACATGAACGTATAAATAAACGCCATTGACTGAGACACGTCAGACTGTAGACGGCTATGTTTGTGTGTAAAGAGTGAAAAGAATTACATTGATACTTTGTGTTCATAGACATTGTGTGAGTGAGTGAGGCGTATGTTGAAGGTGCGTGGACCTGACAAGAGAGAGAGAAAGCGCGACAGACAGAGATAAGAGAGATATCTATAGCTTTCTAATTTGGATCTTGGATTAGTAGTTGTTTAATACAAACTTATGAACAAATTCTCTTCTTGCCTTCAAGGATAGTGGGCACTGTCCAAAGGCAGGTCCAGTGGTATTCGTCACTGTTCCACTGACTAAGAAGTCATTCCATATTATTCCAGTTCAATTCGTATTGGTTTTGGCGGCGGCGGCGGCGGCGGTGGTGGTGTGGGGGTGGGGTGAGGTGAGGATAATTTATGGCACATAACGCTTTTTTAAGAAATCATTCACAAAAAAACTTAGCAACTTACGTTTGCGATTTTCATACATCTAATCGTGTAAAGTTTTGAACGATTCCAAAAAAATCCATATTCAAGACTCTCTGTACAAAAAGTGCAACCTCGCACAGTCGTTAAATTTTTTCATCATATGAATACTAACACATTAAAAAATCACGAGGGCATAATTTCTAGTTTTCGATAAATATACATTAATAGATATAGCTTATTAAAAAACTGGGGAGAGATTTTAGGGGGACCATTATTTGTACTAATAGCAACTGGGTAACGGCCTATATCAGGGGCCAGAAACGGTGGGTGCCGTTGTTTAAACGTCGCGTGGACGACGACTATACACAACCCATTGACATGTTGCACATCGACGTGAAGCTGGTTCCCAGGGCTAACTGGTGGCATCATCAGAAGTGACCTGTCTTTAACAGGTTCGACGCCGGGGCGCTTTTAAGCCCGATTTACGGCAGTTTTTCACGCTGCAGGTACTTGTTATGTTTCGTACATCGACCACAGGGTTTTGTTGTTATTATGGATTGAAAGCCCTGTGTCTTGGCGTTCACGTCATGTGCGACGCGTGCGGGTGTCGTCACGTTTTCCCACCCTTAAAGCCACCCGAAGCTAAGCCCCATGCGTGTGACGGGAGCCAAAACAGCTCAGATTTGATATCACGAGGGGTCTGATCTGTGCATTAAACAACCACTCAACGATTGGCGCTTTCGGTCGTAATTCCCGCCACTTGGTTGGCGTCCATGTCTCACTCAGATACTCTCGGATCAGGCATTACAATCAAAACATCAGAGCAAAGCTTGTGTGCCCGACCCAAACAAGTGCCTCTGCAAACATGATACCAATCAAGGCTCAGTTAAAGACAATGTTGTGAGTAAGAACTCACCATGAAGCTACTTTAGGAATGTATCTTGTGTGAAGGTAACCTTTGGTAACAAACAATAAGAAGTAAATATCACAAAAACCTTGTCTCCGTTTTCTCTCCACATGGAAATAAAGACAATACCAAGGCTAAACGCAGCAATGAAAACGTTTTATTCATCCTTCCGAACAGCATCAAACTAGGCGCAAACATAGCAAAATTGAGTTCGCCTTCACACCAGGTGGAATTAAAGGCAATACCAGGACTAAGCGCAGCAATAAAAACGTTTTATTTCTTAGTTACTTGTACCTCAGGTCTAGTTACTTCTACTCCAGATCTAATTACTTGTACCTTAGGTCTAGTTACTTCTACTCCAGATCTAATTACTTGTACCTCAGATCTAATTACTTGTACCTCAGGTCTAGTTACTTCTACTCCAGATCTAATTACTTGTACCTTAGGTCTAGTTATCTAATTACTTGTACCTTAGGTCTAGTTACTTCTACTCCAGATTCTCCAGATCTAATTACTTGTACCTTAGGGTCTAGTTACTAGTTACTACTCCTGGTCTAGTACTTGTACCTTAGGTCTACTTCTACTCCAGATCTAATTACTTGTACCTTAGGTCTAGTTACTTCTACTCCAGATCTAATTACTTGTACCTTAGGTCTAGTTACTTCTACTCCAGATCTAATTACTTGTACCTTTCAGGTCTAGTTACTTCTACTCCAGATCTAATTACTTACCTGGTCTAATTACTTGTAGGTCTAGTTACTTCTACTCCAGATCTAATTACTTGTACCTTAGGTCTAGTTACTTCTACTCCAGATCTAATTACTTGTACCTTAGGTCTAGTTACTTCTACTCCAGATCTAATTACTTGTACCTTAGGTCTAGTTACTTCTACTCCAGATCTAATTACTTGTACCTCAGGTCTAGTTACTTCTACTCCAGATCTAATTACTTGTACCTCAGGTCTAGTTACTTGGCGCACTTGCACAGAGCAATCTTAGGCCCCTACAATCAACTTTACAATCGCCATACAATTGCCCTAATCCACTTGCACAAAGCCGATCTTAGCGCGTTTGTAAGATGGCATAGATTTAAGATCGCGATCTTAACTAAGATCGAACTCTTCAACGGTGGAGGTACGAATTTCTTGAACTCAACACCTGTCTACAGTTGTCTGCAAGTGTGCATAGCATGCAGCGCAAATAAAGAGTGGAACTGGTTACTGCACACAAACCATACCTCCCTCAATCGCAACTTGCAGAATTTTCATGAACAAAAATCCCACATATCTTTGAAGGAAACGATTGCGTGAAGACAACACACATATTTCTACATTCTAACTGTCTTGATTTATGAACAAAGAATGTGACATTGCAACTCCAGAAATACCTACCCATGATTTTTGAAAATATTGAAATACGAAAAAATACAGTTATAAATTTGGGTCGATTTAGTGACTTAATAATTATGAAAATTAAAACAGGGCCCACTTGCACAGAACGATCTTAGCGCTGCAATTATTGTAAATCGGTTACAATCGCCATCTGCTTGCACAAAGCAATTGTAGGCTAAGATCATTGTAAGTTACAATCGAAACTTACAATTGGTCCGGACCAATTGTAAGGAGCTAAGATCATTTTAGTCATTTTAGAAATGGCATTCAAATTAGTGTCTGTTTCACGCAAATAATCAGCTTTACGTTTGGAGATTGCATTTATATTGCATAAAACTGTGTGGTTCGCCTCGACACTTCAACAACACGGAGAATGCACAACCGAGTTACGTCGGATACATTGTTATTTGCTGTAGTGAACCACATAACTATCGAGTCGATATCACAAAGTACTATTCCCACCCGATTCAATGTTGGAATAAGTGTGAAACAACATACCTTCTTGATAATCAAGGAAGGATACTAACAAATGGTGTCCGCGTGCGATTAACAATGGCCGTGACCTTTTCATTAACTCAAGAGCAGATAATTTTATTTTATACGCAAGATAGTAGGTGACACACTTGCTAAGATGGCTTGCAACAGACCACAGCCAGATATTCATTCAATTAAGCCCATTCCAAGAGATTACTGGTTTGTCATTTCATCTTCAATAACTGCATCTTATAAATGGGATAATGAAACTACAGGTAGACACATGTACTCTACTTGTCCTGTAGTAAACAAACATTTTAAAATTCGTCGGCGTTGTCGCAGAGATGAAGTTGTTTTAACTCGTCTCAGGCTGGGACATTGTGGATTAAAGGCATATAGAAGTATTTTAGATAAAGACCTATCTCCTCTGTGTGAAAGCTGTAACTTACACTGCCCAGAAACAGTTCAGCACTACCCCATTGAATGTCCAGCTCATGAAAACCCACGTAAGGCTCTTAAAGAAACTGTGCTTAACAAAACCCAAAATACTTTTTCAATGAACGCAATACTAGTACTTAAGAAATACACTTCGCTCTACCACCATGTATAGTGTAATAAAACACACTTTTGCCCTGAACTATTATAGTTACAGCACGAGGAGCACGAGGACGCTTGCGTCTGGAAGTGTATTTCTTTCTAAGATGCCAAATTTAATACTTTCTAAAGATAATTACGATTAATTTAAGGCAGAAAACAAACGACGGTGTCGGTGACCTAAATTAAGAATCCTCGCACAGGGCTAACTGGCGCGCTGTTCTATTGATGTGTCTGCCCCCTACGTTAAGACGAACGTTACCAGAAAAAAACAAATGATAACAGTTTGATGACGGTTTACGTTCGGATTAAATATCTTCTCTGAATTATTTTAATTACATCTCTCCTTAACGTAAACCATATGGGGCAATATGAACGTTGCATTTCTACTACCAGCGTAAGTTTAGATCAGTACATCCAGAGGAAGTTGAGTAATCAAGCGACATTCCACAATTGCATTGTGGAAATGTAAACATTACGAACGTTACCGTGTCGCTGAAAACTTGTGAGTCGAAATGACACATTTTAACCGTCGTAAAACATAAACGTAATGTTTCCACCAGTGATGTTAGCTGCGTGAAGCAACAGCAAACCAAGAAACGGGATGCAACGGTGTAGTTTACTGTAGGAGGCCGTACGAGGCGATGACAACTGACATGCATCGTGACGTCGCTTACATTGTGACGTAATGTAAAATAATTCGATTACGAGGGGGCACACTAGAATGGCGCAGTGACGGGATAACGTCATGCAATTGTTACGTCATCAAAAAACTATACCTTTATTGTCTGATAATGTATTTTTTGTTCGATTGTTCTAACCGCTGGGCATCTTAGAATTGGCGATAATTTAATGTATGGTTGCATACAAAGAGCTTTTTTAGACTTCCTCGTTAAAACGGGTAAGTACGACGTAGTTTAAAGGTCACATGCAACGTAAAACACAACTTTGCAGATTCTGATACCTTTCGGTATGGACTTACCGAAACAAATCGTCAAAAAGCAAATTCAACTTATAAAGTTGAAAAATAATGCGATGAAAAAAAACGCGCGAAATCGGAGTTCAAACGTTTCACTAAATTTCCCCAGACTTTTCTGGGGAAAACGGGTTTCAACAGCTGGGCTGCGCTCATAGCATGTGCGCAGTGAAATAGGTTCGCGCAGCTTGGAAGCGGGTTGTCCGGTGAATACTCGCTGAAGGCTTTGGTGTGAGCTATTTTACTAATGTTTTGTTGATATCTCACAGGCGCGAGCTTTTTATATGTTATGACAGTAAATAAACTGTTTATATAATTTCATTTGTCTATTCACCACGTTCTTCTTACCGAGTCACTTTCTCAGTTCGATACTTAAAAAGCAATGTCATTATTTAGCGTTGACAGAATTTCTAACTGTGATATAGATATGTCGTTGTCACAGACAAAACTCAATGTCTTGTTTTATTGACACCTGTGTGTCTGCCTGCCTGTCTGCTAATGACAATATTCAATACACAGCTGCTATCACTGACCACATGCAATTTGAACTTAACACCAATCAGGCTATACACCATAAACAAAATGCATTGATTTATGGCCCGAGTTCGGCCTCTGTCACATTATGTAATTACACAGACAGGCAGGTGTGATACTTGAACACATGACATGTTATGATGTCTGTTGATTGCAAAATGTTATACACAAAAAATGAGCATGTATTTACAAAACCCAACATCTCTATATATATATACACACAATGAGCATCTGCAAATGAACCAGCCGTTACACTTGAGTGCACACCCACCCGCTCTGACTGGGTTCGGTATCCCGGCTGCTTCGTTTCTTGGGAAGTAAACCGAAGTACACAATATTGCACTTTTGATTTGCGATTGTACGCTTATAATTTTGTTTATATGTTTTTTCATAACCAGCAATGTATATTATATGTCATGAATAAGTGATAATTGTGTTTTAATTATGTTTGATTTTTTGGTTGCATGTGACCTTTAACTGAACAAAAATATAACAGTTTGTTAAGTGTTGGGCGCATATAGGCCTTATAAGGCCCAAAGTCGCCCTAAAACTTTATCTACCTACCTACCAAGATGGGAGTGGTTTCCCTTGGCATATGCCGTTGCCGTACAGTCTATAATGCCCAATTGCAGAGCTCAACATACTGATATCTCTTTTCGGTCATGGAGTGATTTTGTCTTAGTTTATCATTAAAGTAATCTACAATTAGATACAAGTTAACATGCAAAATCAAGTTTCTTTCTCATCCAGAAATCTAAATTGGATTATTTTCATAAGACATGGGTAGGTATTTCTGTGGTTGCAATATCACATTCTCAGTTCATAAATCAAGACAGTTAGAATGTAGAAAAATATATGCTATCGTCCATGTAATCGGTTCCTTCTAAGATTTCCGGGACCTTTTCATGAAAATTCTGCAAGGTGCGATTGAGGGAGGTATGTATTGTGTGCTGGGACCGGTATCACTATTTATTTGCGCAGCATGCTATGCGCACTCTCAGACAACTGTAGACGGGAGTCGAGTTTAAGAAATTCGTACCTCCACCGTCGAAGAGTTCGATCTTAGCTAAGATCGCGATCTTAAATACATGCCGTCTTACACTCGCTCCAAGATCGGCTTTGTGCAAGTGGATTAGGGCAATTGTATGGCGATTGTAAAGTTGATTGTAGGGGCCTAAGATTGATTGTAACTAAGATTGCTCTGTGCAATTGGGCCGAGGTCTAGTTACTTATACTCCAGATCTAATTACTTGTACCTTAGGTCTAGTTACTTATACTCCTGGTCTAGTTACGTATACTCCAGGTCTAGTTACTGATACTCCAAATCAGTTTATTCATGCAAGCAATGACAAGACAACATGCATGATGAACCTCTTTATTAAAGTTCCAAAGTGCTTGAGTGGTACAAAATGAGGATTACGAAAAAAGCAAGCATCTGCATATAGCCCTGTCCATAAATTTTCAAAGTGTTGCAGATAATGAGTGAAAATATGTAAACCCTATGTAAGTGTGTTGGGATATGACAGATCTATATACCTCATTCGGACCTATGATCATTGTTGTCTTGTAGAGAGAAGAATCCCTTTGTCATCGGGTATACAGCAACAATATCGGGAGTCATATTATTTAGTCATTCTGGGGTCGTATTATTTGGAAACAAAACTGGTAAGGTGAGCTTTACTTTGCTACAGGTGTTAGAGTGCGTGGACAGACGACTCGTAATCGGCTACACAGATGGAACCCACCCGACGTCCACGTGTTATCCCAGCATTGTCCGACCGTCACATTACTGTCAGGCGTCGTGTCAAGAGCGGCAGCAATGTACCAATCGTCTTTGGCTCTCGTATATATCAAGGTTTTCGTTGGACTTCCTTGAAAGGCACAGCATAATGTAGCGTAGACGGAATGGACAGAACGTTACTTCTTTTGGTGGCTCTATAATGGTTTGGGGTGGGATTTATCTGAATGGCAGAACACCTTTCATGGTTTCCAACCATCGTGACAACATCCTGGAAGCACTCGTGTTTGTGCTGGTCGTCGTTTCAGGACAAGAGCACCCATGGCCAGTGAGTACCTTCAACAGGAGAACATAACCACCTTACCATGGCCAGCACTCAGTCCAGGCCTGTCAGCCATCGAACATGTCTGGGATATCCAGACAAAGTTGATATTGGACGTTTGATGTGTGCCTCGTAGAATCCGGGATTGTCTTGAGAACTGTGGCGGATTCAGGCGATATATTGAGTTTGACTTTTCATGTTAAATGACGTGATGGACAGTTGGGGGCTTTGGGCAATCATCTGATATAATCTGTGGTCATCTGACTCTCAACGACTAATATAAATCTCCGTCAGATGTCCCCGTGACACTGTTAAACTCTTTTTCTGATTAAAGATATAAAATATTAACAGTTGTGACACTTTTGTATTGAATATCACCTACGTTATTATAGAATGTCTACCGAGGTGTTCGAATTTCGAGAAAAGCCAAGCCCCAAAATAATAACAATTGGATCATGCGGTGGCCTATAAAGGTTTTATTTTATGCAAATAATTAATCCATATCAATCAAAGATGTATTAACAGGCTCCAATAAAACTTTACACATGCCTATGCGACGCTGTACAATGCGTATTCCACATATGCGTTCTCGTTTAGCCATCAACCGTTCAAATACCTCACCGATGTGAAGCATGTGAGACAAAGTATAGGCTCGTCTTGGGAGACATATTCTCAGGAAGTGGTGAGGTTGAGGATTCTCTCGTTCGTTGCTGTCATCAAACTTCAGGGCATCATCCAGATAGTTGCATCGTATACCGCCCTCTATGTACAGGGCACAGTGCAGGGCCCACGCCGGATACTGCTCTGTGAGAATGTGCGGCAAACATCTAGCAGCGTTGATGTAGATGGCGCTTCCTACTGGCTCAACTATTGGGACACCGGCTCTCTTCAAGATGTCACCAAACATGGACAAACTGTCAATTCTGTACTTCAAGTAGCGGTCTTCAATCCCTTCTGTCAGGCCTATTGCGACAGCCTCCAGGTCTCAGGCAGCCATGCCACCGTAACGTCGTCTTCCTTCGAACGTTTCCACCATTTCGTCAAACTTTTCACGAAGGTCTATCAATTTCGTGGCAAAACACCCCCTATGCTGCACATGGCGTCCTTTTAGCTGAAAGGTACATGCCATCAAAGTAGGAACACATCTCAAGTGCTATGGCCCTGGCTGACATATCGCCATAGGATTTCTCTCTAATTTTAATGAAATACGCATTTTCCTCGAAGCGACACCCATCCATAAACAGAGGGATTCGGTACCTTTTGCAGATCTCCGAAGTACGTTTGATGTTTACCATGGATACTGGCTGCCCTGCTTGGTGATTGCTCGTGACGGTCAGGACAACAATAGCATTGCCTGACTCAGATAATTCTTGTTCGAGTCTCTCACAGTCGATGTTGCCATTAAAACACTCACCACTGATACGTTTGCATGGAAGATCCTTTTGCAAAGCCCCTAACATGTGGGCGAGGGTTTTACCTGTGCTATACATCGTGTTGCTGAAGATTGCTAGTCCGGGTTTGGAGTACATGGAGAAGAGTAAGTGTTCAGCAGCCCGTCCTTGATGCACAGGGAACACGTAAGGGAAACCTGTGATAGATCGGATGGTGTCTTCAAATTTGTCAAAACTGTCGGGGTTTATAGAGCCTTCGTGCGCTTGTAACATTGCAGCCCATTGCTCGTGACTCATGGCGGCTGCACCGGAATCCGTCCACAGGTCAAAGTTGATTTCATGATCGCTTAACTGCAGAGGGTTATAGTGTCTTCTGTGCAATGCTTCAACCCGCTCTTCTTTAGTAATATCAGCTAAATGAGCTACCATTTTGATTCGGAAGGGTTCCATAAAGGCCATCCTGTGAATGAAAATAGTAGTGAGTGAGTGGGTGAGTGAGGTTTTACACCGAAACTCAGCAATATTCCAGCTATATGGCGGCGGTCTGTAAATAATCGAGTCTGGACCAGACAATCCAGTGATCAACAGCATGAGCATAGATCTGCGCAATTGGGAACCGATGACATATGTCAACCAAGCCAGCGAGCCTGACCACCCGATCCCGTTTTTGGCCTCTTACGACAAGCATGGGTTACTGAAGATCAATATTCTAACCCGGACCTTCACGGGTCGATGAAAATAGTAATTAGAGTGACATCATTGCCTACATTGCTATTTCCTGAAGAGATTTAAGGGATATATCACTTAGAATATGTTGACCACTAGAAGGCCAGAACCCCAGTCGTTTGTTGCATTGAACTTAGCGCCAGTAGCACTAGCCCAGCATTCCAAATGGAATTTCGAGTCACGAATTTTCCTAAAACATGGGTAATATTTTTTACATTAATTTGTTTTCTTATATCCAACATATGCAAAAAATAATGTAACCGGACCAGACATATTTATACACAAAGAAAATGATTGAGTGTGTTGCTCTAACACCGTAGTTGCAGAACGGCGAGGGAGTTAATGTCGTCGTGATGCAGGACACAAACGTTTACCACAGACCTGTGACAGACCTGGCAAGACAACATGGACAAACAGGGGTTCGACTGTCCATGTGTCCAAGAGACCCAGTGAAATGCTTGCCGTATTCTGGTTATCCTTCATATCAAGTTACAGGCTTCCTGGGACATTAATGACGAACACTGTTCAGTGAAAATACGTGATGTGATTTTGCAATTTGTACCTAATGAAATCTGTTTTGGTATATAGCCACTCTCTTGTGTTCACACAAACAGATGTTTCTTTAAATGGAATCATCGTCCGAGAAGATCGTTCTTCATTACATACGAAAATTTATAATTATTATTACAATATCGAGAGGCAGAGAGAGAGAGAGAGAGAGAGAGAGAGAGAGAGAGAGAGAGAGAGAGAGAGAGAGAGAGAGAGAGAGAGAGAGAGAGAGAGAGAGAGAGAGAGAGAGAGAGAGAGAGAGAGAGAGAGAGAGAGAGAGAGAGGGGGAGGCAGAGATTGAGAGTACTTATTGATCCGACCTACCCGACTTGTCAATATGATGAGGGGAAACTGAGGGCTGTACAGTCGTTAAGCTGATCTCCCGCACCACTGTCCACCCTAACTGAAGCAGCTGCTACAAGCCACATAGATGAATATATACTGCCATGCAACATATTGAAACACTACCCGTACTTTAATCCGCCCCAGTAAATACCATTCTTATCAAAATAACTACAATGTGTAACATTTGTCATGCCAATAGTCAACGGAAGCCCACGTTCATTAAGCATGAAATATGCTGGGAACGCTGTACACCTTCTGTGATGAGAGACCATTAAATATCCAGTGACGTAGAGGTTAATAAGTGGACAAAGACTGTATTTATGTTGTTTTTCACACTTCCACATACTTGTTTGACTGAGATACGTCTAATTACCTTTAACAGTTTTAAATAAACGATTTGTTTGTTAAGCGCAACATATTTCAGAATAACATTATTGTTTTACAAATGTAAATAAATACTTTAACTGCGGATCCAGCCACAGTCAGGCAGGCTAAGCTCACCACCAGCTCGGAGCCCTTGCCTACTTTACCCACAGCTCAAACAGGGAATGATACTTCTCCAAGGAATGAACTCCAAAACACCAATGGCACCAGAACGTAAAACGACCCCAGTCTCTGTCTTGTAAACCCACCCTTACCTCTCCCCTCGTTGTCCTTCCGTCGACGTTCGACAAAGTCGTCGTTGTCCAGTGTCCCGGCATCCACTGACCCCTACACGCTATTCTCCAGAAAATGGCTTCGTAACTCTGAATGCAACACATTAGCAGGGTCATCTGGTACTTGTAGACACCACTCAGGTATTCATGGACAATTTTGACCTCCACAGTAATTGACCAGCTGTAATACAGACGATGGGAGTTCTGAATCAATCCACGTGGTTAAGGGAGTGGGGTAGACAACAAGATTACAAGTCGTAACGTATCAGTTTGTTAATATAACAAAACAGCGTTCTTCCAGCGGTATGTTCTTGGTATAAATACGTTTGCTATTTAAAGCGGCTAGACAAGACGGCTATTAAGGTAATATTAAAACATAACAAAACAGCACTTTCCAGTCCTTGGGCATTCATAGACAAATACATACATAGATATACCTGTATGATATAATGGACAGAATATCATAGCATCTCTAAAGTCCACCTTGGTGGGACACAGTGACAGAAAGTGGTGTTAGGCGTCTGGGATCTGGGTTTCCAAGGCGACACCTGAAACTGACTTTGGTGACCTTGGTGCTGTTCTGTGTGTATTTTATCAAGTTGATAAATTTTAAGAGATGTGGATGACTTGGACCCCACTTGTTAAATCCTGTATGCTTCCCTTCAACGTGGTCGCTTGTACGCGTGCAGATCCCCTGAAATGTTTCTTCATCGTGCCCTGCTTCAGTCCACAGACACTCACCACTGAGTTTCCAAGTGTTTTGCCAATCAACATGCGTCATTTGTTTGTCTACCTTAAACAAGCGGACATTCCGAGAAGTCCCTATTCCAAGATGAGAAAGTCACCAGCTGTGATATCAACGCGTCCTTGATGAAGGAAGCTCTGTTTGCCTAGATCTTTGTTTAGGGAAATAAAACATACAGACCAATATTCAGTTCTATAGTTAATGCAGACATAAGAAGATACATGCTTCTTGGAATACAACACACAGACCAATGTTCAGTTCTATAGTTAATGTAGACATAAGAAGCTACATGCTTCATGAAATAAAACACACAGACCAATGTTCAGTTCTATAGTTAAAGTAGACATAAGAAGCTACATGCTTCATGAAATAAAACACACAGACCAATGTTCAGTTCTATAGTTAATGAAGACATAAGAAGCTACATGGTTCATGAAATACAACACAGAGACCAATGTTCAGTTCTATAGTTAATGTAGACATAAGAAGCCACATGCTTCATGAAATAAAACACACAGACCAATGTTCAGTTCTATAGTTAATGTAGACATAAGAAGCTACATGCTTCATGAAAAAACCCACATAGACCAATGTTCAGTTCTATAGTTAATGTAGACATAAGAAGCTACATGCTTCATGAAATAAAACACACAGACCAAAGTTCAGTTCTATAGTTAATGTAGACATAAGAAGCTACATGCTTCATGAAATAAAACACATAGACCAATATTCAGTTCTATAGTTAATGAAGACATAAGAAGCTACATGCTTCATGAAATAAAACACACAGACCAATATTCAGTTCTATAGTTAATGTAGACATAAGAAGCTACATGCTTCATGAAATAAAACACATAGACCAATATTCAGTTCTATACTTAATGTAGACTTAAGAAGCCACATGCTTCATGAAATAAATCACATAGACCAATATTCAGTTCTATACTTAATGTAGACTTAAGAAGCCACATGCTTCATGAAATAAATCACATAGACCAATGTTCAGTTCTATAGTTAATGTAGACATAAGAAGCTACATGGTTCATGAAATAAAACACATAGACCAAAGTTCAGTTCTATAGTTAATGAAGACATAGGAAGCTACATGCTTCATGGAATACACCACACAGACCAATGTTCAGTTCTATAGTTAATGTAGACATAGGAAGCTACATGGTTCATGAAATAAAACACAGAGACCAAAGTTCAGTTCTATAGTTAATGAAGACATAGGAAGCTACATGCTTCATGGAATACACCACACAGACCAATGTTCAGTTCTATAGTTAATGAAGACATAAGAAGCTACATGGTTCATGAAATAAAACACAGAGACCAAAGTTCAGTTCTATAGTTAATGAAGACATAGGAAGCTACATGCTTCATGGAATACACCACACAGACCAATGTTCAGTTCTATAGTTAATGAAGACATAAGAAGCTACATGGTTCATGAAATAAAACACAGAGACCAAAGTTCAGTTCTATAGTTAATGAAGACATAGGAAGCTACATGCTTCATGAAATAAAACACACAGACCAATGTTCAGTTCTATAGTTAATGAAGACATAAGAAGCTACATGCTTCATGAAATAAAACACAGAGACCAAAGTTCAGTTCTATAGTTAATGTAGACATAAGAAGCTACATGCTTCATGAAATAAAACACACAGACCAATGTTCAGTTCTATAGTTAATGTAGACATAAGAAGCTACATGCTTCATGAAATAAAACACATAGACCAATATTCAGTTCTATAGTTAATGTAGACATAAGAAGCTACATGCTTCATGAAATAAAACACACAGACCAAAGTTCAGTTCTATAGTTAATGTAGACATAAGAAGCTACATGCTTCATGAAATAAAACACAGAGACCAATGTTCAGTTCTATAGTTAATGAAGACATAAGAAGCTACATGCTTCATGAAATAAAACACAGAGACCAATGTTCAGTTCTATAGTTAATGTAGACATAAGAAGCTACATGCTTCATGAAATAAAACACACAGACCAATGTTCAGTTCTATAGTTAATGTAGACATAAGAAGCTACATGCTTCATGAAAAAACCCACACATACCAATGTTCAGTTCTATAGTTAATGTAGACATAAGAAGCTACATGCTTCATGAAAAAACCCACACATACCAATGTTCAGTTCTATAGTTCATGAAGACATAAGAAGCTACATGCTTCATGAAATGAAACACATAGACCAATATTCAGCTCTATAGTTAATGTAGACTTAAGAAGCTACATGCTTCATGAAAAAACCCACACATACCAATGTTCAGTTCTATAGTTAATGTAGACATAAGAAGCTACATGCTTCATGAAATAAAACACACAGACCAATGTTCAGTTCTATAGTTAATGAAGACATAAGAAGCCACATGCTACATGGAATAAAACACATAGACAAATGTTCAGCTCTACATTTATTTCCATCTGCTCACTTGTTCTATGGAAAGTTTTTTGATTTTCCAGCAGGACAACGACCCAAAACCTCGTTCAAAGTATTCACAGGCCTGGTTTAGGACCCAAAATATGACGTTATTAGATTGGCCAAGCTATAACCCTGACCTAAATCCAATAGAAAATGTTTGGGGACTTATGAAGGAAAGTGTCAATAAGAAAAAGTCTGACAAATATTGCTGAAATGAAAGAAGAGGTGGTCCGATATTGGGACAGCATGGACCACGACTTTCTAACTTGTTTGATTAGTAGTATGCCCCGCCGCATTGAAGCCTGCATTGCTGCCCGTGGTGACTTGACAAAATACTAACTGTTCACCTGTCTTTGAATCTGGAGTTATGTTCTGCTAATATTCACATTTAATACGTGAGTAATGAGTGAAAAAAAATGAAAAAATACAATCTTTAAATTCTCAATAATTTCTGGTTGCACTGTACATGAAATAAAACACACAGACCAATGTTCAGTTCTATAGTTAATGTAGACATAAGAAGCTACATGCCCCATACTGCGTTTAGTAGGGTTTACAGAGTATCTGTGTAACGTTTTCTTTAAAAACGCAACGTGCCCGTTCCCATGGAACGGCGCATCGGCAGTAGACATTCGCGGCTATTGTTCCCCACAAACTAGATTTTAATTGAGAAAAACGGAGACGGTTGTCTCTGTTTGACACCTTTGTTGACACCCGTGTACCACCAGGTAATCAATATGAAACATTGAAAGGGAATTTGATGATGAATACAATGCCAGACACTAACAAGAGAACAACTGCCAGGTGATCGTTGATGGGAATGGCATCCCAGTCGTGATGATCTCACTATCTACATCACATCCCCTTGCTGTCTGTCAGATGTAACATCTGGTTGAAGAATTCACAGATTATTTATATAATGAACATTCATTTAGTCTGCATTATGTGCACAGTCGGTTTAAACAGACAGTAATTTGTCTAAGTAAATGTCTACACCAATTTGCAAATTGCCAAATTACATGCATCACTGCTACAGATACACTTAAAGTATGTGTATGTACTGGGGAATAATTCATATGCCTTGATGGATGATGGTTTACTCAAATATTCATGCAGAGCAGGAGATGGCGTGTTTTGTTGACTGACAAAACAAATACTATTTTACTTTCATTTTTTCCATTTAGACCCAAAAATTATTATTTGTATAGTGAACTTATTTGTCAT